GGAATTTTTAGAGCAGTTGTTTTAATCTGCCAGCTAGGGAGCCAGTGAGAAGCTACCGCTGGATTCGTTCCACTTGACAAAAAAAAGTGTCTTCGCAAGCTGACGTTCTGCGTACAGGCAACTTATTTGTCCAGATGTTGCCCATAGGCCTTGCGAAGAGCTCCGATAGGCTCTTGGAACAAGGATCCTCGCCCTAGTTTCAAGCCCCAGGGTAACGACGACCAGATCAACGAGGGTGTAATCCAAGGGAGTGGGAAGAATGAAATTCTCAAGGAGTGGACTCATTCTTCACCCCACCTTCGCCCTCGACGTAATTGTCCAACAGATTAATGCGACGTTTCTCTCTGTTCCGAAGAGAATCTAATGACCCGTATTGAGAGGAACCCTTGCTCTATTAGTACGTATCGAAGCAAACCAATAGGCTCTTTCATTCCGCCTGGTTCCGAGCAACAATCGAAGTTTCGATTTCGTTTGATGGAGCGACTACTTTAGTGTTCGGAGCAATCGGAAATCGGCGAGGGCATGGGAATCGGCCGTTTACGCATCCATCATCCCTCTCCCTCTTTCCTGATGAATATATTCCGAACCGATGAGCAGTCGGAGCATTGCTCCTGATTTTCGAGATGACGGAAGATGGTTCGAATACGAATCATTTGATCCTCCATCGCTCCTCGAAGCTTTTCCTCAGTGAAGTCTTGTCCGCTTTGCTGTTGCCAGCACCGTTTAGATGTTGACCGGCAAGAAGAGAGCGATGAAAGGATCATTAAGCGTGAAGTGAATCACGCTCATCATAATAAACAACCTGCCAAGCCCTCGGAGTAGCGGAAAAGAAATCTATTGAGGAAAGAAGATAAAAGTGAGTCGATTGGAATTATCTACGTTGAAGTTGCAAGACAGCGATGCTCCTATTGGAGCGGGGCGAGGAAAGATCTCCGGGCAGACACACGGCGATTAGCTCTTCGAGCTTATCGTCTCCACGTGACCGCTATCGGTAATCGGCGGGCTAGACTCTGTCACGATGCTGAACGCAAACTACCGACGCATTCGGAGCACAGACGAGCTCGTGTCTCCGCTCCGATCAGCGCTCTGTAACGTCGACTGCATGCATTTCTCTCCGCTTGTCCGATCCGATGACCCCTCCACCCCTTGGGCGATTCATCAGGTATTCGCTCCAGTATTGAAATAATTTTTGATACGCCTGAGAAGCTTTCCGCGACTGCTCGTTCGCGAATCCATTGCGGGCGGAAGGCATTCATCGAGCAGTAGATTGAAAAGAAAGAACACGCAAAGCTCAGGCGATATACCGTTGCGGCTTTCTGAATTTCGGAAACAAGTTCGCCCCGGTCTTCGGATTGCTTATTGCTCCGTTCGACGCGCAGAATGAGTGAGAGAGAAGCCGCTCATCTGAGACGTCTAACTATGGTAAAGCACTTCAGGGACACACCGGATTGTCGAAAGTCTTAGGTAACGTCAAGAAAGAAAAAAGACGCGAAATAAAGACACTTCGAGAAACACACAAACGGTAGGCGACCAAGTGAACGAAGAAATTCAATGCGGATCGTGTTTCAAGCTGCGGTCAGTGTTCGGAACAAGACAAGAACTCCAAGGCTCACAAAACAATTATTGCGTTTTCGAGAAACGGCTTATCGATGACTCAAGGAATCAGTGACGAGATTCTAGAGCGCTGCAATTAGGTGACGCGAGAAATCCTCGTAGCTTCCGGCGGCTCTCCAGGCTCTTAATTCATCGATTCCGAGAACAGTCTTGCATGGAGGCCATCCAGGAAAGGACGGGCGCAATATGAATATTCAGAAAAATATTAATTGTCAATTCAAAACGAAGCACTCGCAGAACAATGGTTCGACTACCGGTTCGATTCCCGAGAGGAACCGGGAGCAATTCACATTCACAGATTAGAAAGCACTAATGAAAATCGCAGGGCTACGAGCGACGAGCGCATCGTTACATCCGATCCCGAAACGAGAGGAGTCTCGACTAAAAAACTACATGAATATGGATCGCAGGAAATGAACCCATCTGAATCATCATTACGTTCATTGTCGTCAGCTGTCCTCGCGGGTCGACACCCTCCCACCTGAACCCCGTCAACACCCAGCTTCCCGTTCGTATTCCTCCCTTCTGGCGCTCTGCATTCTTAATCTGTATGTACTCTGATACAGCAGATGGCAAACCGATATGACACCTGCTTTCATTCCTCCGCAGTATTCGGGAGTTGCATGATCGAACCCTCGTTGGAACGTGGAGCGCCGAAACGCGAGCCAGAACTCCGGCACATCACCCCGTTCCGCGATACGCAATCACCGGGCGGGCAGCATTTTCTCCGTTCGAAAACCGAGGGACGCTCGGAAATTTTCAGCGGGACACTGACATGCGACAATATGATCAATGATCACAAGTCTCATGGCGGCCACGGTAGAGCTAGAACTCCGAGCGCGAATCCCAGATGCAGATTCAAACAAGTATTTCTCGTGGTGCCAGTGAGAAAAGGTGACTTTCGGAGAGAGCCAGGAGGAGGCTTTCCAAACATTCCGGGAAGCTCATCCTCCTATATGAAGCACCAAGATCTCTAGCGAGCTTCCATTGACAGTGTGTCATCGTCAGCTGAGAAGTCTCTTCGTATTCCTCAAAGGGGACGGAAACGTAATAACGAAGGACAACCTCACGAGATATCGGGAACTCGGGGTCAGGCTCTTCTTCTTTCCAAAAGTGGGGAGTCCAAATTATTTTCCAATCACAGGAGCTCGTCCCTTCCGAGAGAATTCGGCCGGAGCGGAAATTCCGAGCGAGGCCCCGCCTCGACTGCTTCGCAGTACAAATCCGTCCCGCGTTCCCTCAATTTATTCCGCTGAAAACGAGACTGACAGCCAGACTTGTGGAACTGGCCTCCGAGAGCAATCTGACATGCTTCCAGAAAACATTCCACGACTCTCACCCTGAGCGAAGGCGGATCGTATCGATTTCCGAGCAACATGTGCGGGGTGGGACTCCAGTTTTTCGAACATCGCAAGGGAGGGTATCAAAACGAGAACGGAAGATTTCCGAGTGCGACGGTATCTATTACCGACGAGGACACATTCACAGAGACGTGCCGGTAGAGTCTCCAGAGTTCCTCAAACGAGTCAACTAACCTCATTTTGGCGTTTGTTCTGAAACAGGCTGGAGTTGTATCCGTTTACACTGAGTACACTTTGGACCGGCAACTTTTCCAAGCTCGGCTCACTCCTGCGCTTTCTCTCTCCGAAACCGCTGGTCACGCGGTTCTCTATGGACGAAAACAGCTGTTCGAAGGGGGATCCACCGTCGGATCGAAGTCACAAAACACGCTCAGAGCCCCGCAAGAATTCACAGCAAACTTGTGGAGATCTCTCTGCGCCCCGTACCTTGCTGCCTCACTGCCTGCCCGACTGGCCGGCGGTCTATCTGTCTGCTTGGCTCACTGGCTTGCTTGCTCGCCTGTATGCCGCCGCTGCTTGCGCGGCTGCTGGTGGACTCCCCGATCAGCACGGAGAAGGGACGGGGGACTGCGGGACCATAGCGACATCTGGCGACTATCGCTAGAAGCGCGTGGAAAGAGACTCAGGGAGGGGCCCGGGTAGCGCTCGCGTGCCATCTTCGAGTTTCGGGTAGAGTGGCGGCGGTGGGCGTCGGTTTCGGTGCTGAAGATCATGTAGCGGAAAATGGTGTACAGTCGACTTGCATAAAAGGGTATTCCGTAGAACATGGTTCCGCTGAGACACCTGAGGGCCCGCGAATCTGATTCTTTGGTGTGGGCTCGTGCAGGGACCAGTGCGGTGTTCCTGCAGGCGCGTGCCCAGCCTGATGAAGTAAAGACGCGTTCTCCAATTTCCCCCTCCCGCCGATCGCGCGGCAAGTTTCCGCGTTCAACGGTCACCTGTCAAGGGGGGTCGGACGAGATTCTCCATACCTTTACCTACATCCTTGTCGAAAAATAGAGCAGGACCTGAGTCCTTTCCATCGATGAGACAATCGAATCCAAGTTCTCCAACTCAAACCTGTGTAGGTCAGAATCGCCACCTCATTCCTTGTAGGCAAATGTTCCTTAGTCTCGAGGTCGATCCGGGCTCCGGCCCCATTCTCGAGGTAGATTACAGGTAGTGTACGTTGGTGGCTGCTAGCTACGTGCTTCTCTGATAGTGTTCTCTCTTATCATCCTGAGTGCTGAGCCCTCAGAACCTGACCTCCTTTCACATCCAGGGACAACAAAAGATTTCCCGAGATTTCCGCGCTCCCACGGGACTATGGAACCCGAATTCACAACATTTGGAGGACACCTGTCTACAATACCGCAGGGCGAATAAGCCGTCTCGGGAACGATGGGGAAGGCGAAGCGAGGAAAAACTGACGGCTCTTCCTAGGACGAGGATGACTGGCTTCCATCGGGAAATTAGAACGAGACAATCAGAGAGCGGGAAACCATTTTCCCTGGGAGCGGAGGCGCGGCTGTGGAAATGAACGGCTGAGGGTCGAGAGGAGGAATGGTTTGCCTGGAAAGGATTGAATGCTCGCTGAAGAAATGTCGGTCCGGAGGAACACGGGGCCGGCTCTCCTGAGCGAGAGCGAGGAAGTCATTTGCCTTGAAACTGATATGAAGTTGGGAGGAGCAGCGTTTCCCCTCGGATTGGACGGAGGGCTTTTTTCCCGAGAGACAGAAGAAGTCGGAGTCGTTCTTTGTATCGCAGACACGGTGTCCCCCTTGATGCCGTCTGAAGGATGATCAAGGACGATGGAGAATTCCCCACATCCACATGTACACCCCATTCCTCTCACAAGTCTCCTAATGCACCCATATATTTTCCTCTTATTCGTGATTTCTGAGGGTCTCCCTCCAAGCTCATATCTCATGGCCAAAGCTAGCACCGAGTCTCGCTCCCGCGCCCGGCGAAGGTTACTCGGTCCGGTAGCATCAATCACGATCATCATCCACAATGTTTATTTTTCTCCCCCGAAGACAGCTAGCAGCAGCTAGCAACACACCACAGCTGGAACTCTGATTTTCGTTGAGCTTTGCTCAAAAATTTCTACTGCTCTGTCAGATCTCATCGGATCTGAATACTTCGATTAGGCAAGCATGGGATGTGACGGAGGCACAATCCCCAGACGCGACGAGTTGGTGCGCACAAAGCAAAAAGGAGAGCAAAAGGATGCGAAGTCCGAAAACGCATTCAAATGGAAACACTGTGCGATATCTCAGGCAAGTGAATCAGGACACTCCTTATAATCCTTGAAAACCCTAAGCCCAATGAGGTCAGGACACTCCACGACTCGACATCCGAATATTCATTCTGCTATCCATCCCTGCAGCAAGCTCTGAAAAAACCGATCGTAGCATGCGATTTGGGACGACTATACAACAAAGAAGCCGTCATCCAGTATCTACTGACCAAGACTGAAGCTCCGGTGGAAATCGCATCGCACATCCGTCAGCTCAAGGATGTCACCGAGCTGAAATTGACCGATAACCCAGCCTACAGGGACGTCGAGTCCAAGGGAGCCGAATGCGTGGACCACGCCGTTTCGCCGTACGTTTGTCCGACGAGTCTCCTCGAGATGAATGGTGCCTACAAGTTCATGTTCAATCGCCGCTGCGGATGCGTTCTCAGCGAAAGGGCACTGAAGAACGTGAAAACAGAGAAATGTTTGAAGTGCGGCGGCGGTTTCGATACGAATGACCTCATCACTCTAAACCCTAGCGACGATGAACGAGCTCTTCTCGAGCTCCGTATGGCCGAACGCAAAGCCGCCATGAAAGCCGCGAAGAAGAAGGTCAAGAAGGAAGTCAAGAATGAATTCGAACCTGAGCCTAAGAAAGCTAAGACCCAGAAAATCAAGACCGACAGCGCGAAAACCGAGCCCGGAACCTCAGGGACTTCGCTCGGAGCTTCCAAGTTATTGATACCCGAAAAAGCGAAGGAGTCCTACTCGATAGCCCAAGATCCGAATGCATCCGAAGCGCTCAAATCTCTCTTCACGACTCATGAGTCGGCGAAGAACAAACCGAAGGCTCATTGGGTCACTCATAATCCACTCTTCTACTGATGCTTATATCCTTCTCAGGAGATATAATTGTGTATGTAAATAAAATGAAGGGAGTACGGTGATATTGTTGAATGGAAGACTTTTGCCTAAATTCTCAGAACCATCGGAGATCGCGATTCGTCGGAAAGACTCTGCTATTGAAAAATTCAGAGCGCCTCTCAATCGAGTTCCTTATTTCTGTGCACTGTGGACAGCTGCCGACATCTCGGCTGGCTCTCGGGCAAGCTCGATGATTGGAGTCAGAGACCGCCGAATTCGCGGAGAAAAATTCCGCGGATGGCCGAGTTCTGTCAGCTTCCAGGGATTCGATCGAGTTCGGCCGATGGGCTCGACTAGATGACTCGAGCAATAAGGAACCTTGGGTCAGAATCCAGGGTCGGACAATGGAGAACCTGGGCGAGCTTCTCTACCTCCAGGTCTCTTGCGAATTTCCGAGAGGGAGTTGCCGTCGAACTCTTAGACAGCTGATCGGAGAAACGGAGTTCGGAGAATCGGGACTTTGACCCTCTCGACGTGGATCAGATTCCTAATGGTTGGTGGATAATATAGCACTAGAGGAACGCTTGGCATAGATCAGGCTTCTACTCACGCGCTGGAGTAACAATACTCGGGTGAGCAACGCCCGGCAAATCGTCCGCTGCATATAGCCCTCGACTTAGTCAAAGTCCTGGAAACCTACGAGAGAAGCTCTGCCCTCAGGGCTGTGGAAGCTACGTCGAACCATGCATCCTGCAGAGAGAATTGCGTCCATGATCCAAAACACGAGCATCGATCCGCACTTTTGGAGTGGTATCTCAGACATCGAGCACAGTTTTATTTCTCCCGGCCTGTCCGTGGTGAATTCTGGTCTGCCCTTTCGCCGCGCAATGAACTACTCAGACAAGTTGAGATAAGTCCTCGTTTAATTCGATTCCCGTTCACAAATTATGTACATGTTTCATCGAAGGGGACTGTGGATCTTGCGTGATTGAAGTCGCTCAGAGTGAGCTGAGGTTGTTGTTCGTGTAACGGTCCTTCTCCTGAGTTAGCAGAGTCAGCATTTTCGCAACAGTCATACCCTCTTCTTCTTTCTCCCTCTCGACAATTGGCGTCTCTTGATTCTCAGCGCCTTTAGTGAATTTTATGAGTTTTTCTTCGATGGTGTTTTTCACAATGAATCGATGAACATGAGTTTCCTTGTTCTGACCTATCCGGTGGATCCTACCGAGAGCCTGTAGTTCGTCCCCAGAGTCTAGGACAGGTTCAATCAGGATCATGTGCGAGGCTTCAGTCAAGTTCAAACCTTTAGAGCCGAGTTTGATGGGCATTAATAAAACCGAGATCTGAGGATTCTTCTTGAAATATCTCAAGTTTCGTTGCAGTTGGTTGGTGGACGCCACAAGCACATTGCTGATGTTGTTCTCAGCGAAGGCTTTCTGCAGGATGAAAAGGACCGACGGCCAGAGCGAGAAGACGATGCATTTCATCAAAGGGTCTTGGTTTCTGATCCTTATCAGGTTCTCCACAACCCCGGTGACCTTGGTTGAATGGCTTCCGATCACCTGCAAGACTCTTTGTTAATTTTCTGACATTATCCAAGCGACTACGGCGGATTGACGATCCAGATGCTTGAGCCAAATCTTTGCCGACCGATGAGATACGGAGTCTTCATTCACCTTGATGTTCGACGGCTCATTCTCTTTTCTCCTCGTGTCCACGTGGAATATGTCTTCGAGTTTCGAATAAACTCGGCACATTGGACACTGCACCCGCACACTTGTCTGGCTCCGTACCACGGGGCACTGAGTCTTGATGAGCATTTGGAGACATTCGATGCAGATATTATGACCGCAATGAAAAACTCTCCAACGTTCGCCGAGAGCAGAACGACAAGTTGGGCACTCCTCGGTCGAACCTTCCGTCATGGAGCTGGTCTTCTCCAGCGTTCTGGGGAGACATCGATTTTGAGCCGATCATTCACCGCTTGGCTTCGAAAAGTATGATGATTCTGAGGACGAGCGTCAGACTTTTCCATCAGCTCTCACCTCAAGTAGACGAGTTGATGGAGGCATTTGCAGAGATCTTCCTCGCCGAGTTTTTTGTCGTTGTGGAGACGAGCTGCCTGCGCATCGATTTCCCAGAGACTAGAGATGTAATAAAAACTCAGATGATTCCAATCCGTCATCGATCAATCTCGATTTCAGGTCAGAAGTCCGGGCCCAGAAAGAGAGGGACACACCCGAGAGCTTCTTCGGTGTGTACTCACTGGACAACGTTCGCAGGTTTTTCCGAATTTTTGAAAATCTTGTCGTCGGGTGCTAGCTCGAACTTGAGAGCCGCCATCTCGAGTTCGTCCAAGGCTGCCACGTAATCTTTGGTTTGGCGATAGCACGCACCGAAACTCTTGAATTCTTTGCGCAACAAACTCAGATATTCACAGTGCAAAGCGCCGTCGAATTGAATGTCCTCAGATTCTGGGGAGAGCAATTAGGATCGGAGTCGTCTAATCGAGTCAGTGCGACTCCTACGGATATGATTGCGTGATTCGAACGAAAACACCCACCATTATTCGTTTTTGTCAAAGCGGCCAAATATATCACAATTTTTTCAACGTCCGAGAGTTGCCAAGTTCCTTTTCGGGTGACTCCATCGCCGCGGGTCAGGTCTTCAGCTGCAGCGTTGTCATCCTCATCGACTTCTTGCTCGGCCTCGCTTTCCTCCTTCTTGGGGGAGAGCGGATCACAGGAGAACAATTTGCTCTCGTAGGCTAGTAGAATATCCTGGACCAGACAATATCGACAACGCGGCCTTTTCTTCTTGATTGGACGCAAATGGCACGATATAGCAGCTTGGATGTCCTCCTGAGAAAGGATACCATGTTGAGATGGAATAGGCTTGAAGAAAAACTCTAGCCGAGACCTTCCCTGCGAGTTTGGAACTCACCTTAGAAGGATCCGACGCGAACTGATCGATAACCTTCATCAGATGCCCCCGACTTTCGTAGAGGGCATCCAAATGATTCTGAATCACATACTTCAGGCCATTACAGTCGGTGAACCTGATGAGCGAAGCTTGTGAGGATTTCGATGTACGAAAAGACAATGCAGCTCGAGCCCGGAGAGCTGATTGATTTCACCCGAGCATAATCGATAGCGAATCAGACGAGGAAGAAAATACGAGTTTTCGAAATTCACCTGTTGACCAAAGAAAGGCCATAGGCGCCCTTGTTCTCCACGAGATGCTCCTTGAGTTTCTGGATCAGGCGCTCGCCGTCATCTGTGGATTCGGTGGTACCTTGTTTGATGTCTGTCTCCCTCTTCATTTTCTAAATTATCTGTCTCCCAATTCCATCCGCAGGATATCAACGGAAAGCATAATTCGCTAGACTGCGCACCTTTGGCCTGAAATCCATCGATGAAAGAGATGTACCACTTCTCCTCCTTCGGTAACCTGAACCGATCGCTCAGCTTCTGCAGATCATTTCGATAATTCGTCACCGAGAGCATGGCTTGCCGTTGTCGTTCGCCGTATTTCGACAGGTATTTGTCGCGCACCTGAGGATTTTCTTCCACATGATTTAGAAGGATTTCACTATTGATCAAGCCTTCGCCTCAATCACCGAATTTCGTCCAACTCGCTGACCTGATACGCGTGCTCCATCAGTTTATCATCACCAGTCGCCCTCGGTATCAGGGGAACGGGATTGAATTGATGATCGCTCTGCCAATCGGACGTCACGCCTCTGACGCCGTATCCCGATTGATTCGGTGCCTCCTGCCCATTCCACCTCCCGGCCGCGAGTCCTCCCGCAGTCCGCATCTGTTGATCGTTCTCCTCTGCGGGGTAAGAGGGACTTAGATACGTCTTGAGCTCAGATTTTGCGGCCCACGTTCGATATCCAAATGATTTCGAACCGAATGAGATATTTGACGATCAATGAAGGCTCTGGGTAATGCATACCTATTAACGCAGCCAAATTAACGTAGGTGTGGAACTGTTGGAGTGGATCCGCTCGTAGATTTCCAGAGTAGTAGGAGATCGACCAAAGGACCTGACGAAATGGGAGATCGAGATGTCAGACAATCAGAACTGCCGCATAATTGGTTGAACGCGGGTGCCGACCGATAGCCACCCACCTGTCGGTAGAAGTCAGCAGCGACCAAGGGCTCTCGTCTCAACAGGGCCAAGCCGGCCAAACCGTTGAGGGACGAGATTATTCGCCTCTGTGCTTCCTCCGCCTCCCGGACTGAGCGTCTGAAACACGGAAAATCCGAAATCGTCTCTGGTTCTGTTCCGAAACGGAGCAGACGATACAAGAAGAGCCGACTCACTTAATCAGAGCCGTGAGGAGATCGTCCATCGTATACGAGGAGTTCTTCAGAGAAATTTCTGATCCGCGCACCGCCTTGGGGTGAGAGCAGGCCTGTCTGAGTCTTTTAAGGGGTTCCATGAGCTTGATGACATCGGATCTGAAAGAGAAAAACTCGATCATCAGCATATTTGGCCCATTACCTCTGGTCTGATACTTCTAGTATTTCAACTTTTTTTCTACTTAGGTCGATCCCAGATTACTATCCACGAGTGAGGATCTTCTCCTAATATCTACGGGGGTGAATTTCTGAAAGCTTTTTCCATCGAAACACCCACCTCGGCATTTTAGAGATTATGTTGTACCAGGGGAATCTCTTGGCAACTTTGTAAGCATCTTCATAGCATATAACGGTTTGTGTCTTGTAGAAAACTTCTTCAGCCGGAGAAAATTGTAGTTCGTTCATATGGGTATGCTGAGCCGGTAGGTTCAACTGATCCCAGACTTCTTTCTTGCTCATCCGTCGGAAACATTTTGTCATTGTCTTGACTAAGGTACTCATATCTCCCGAGTAGTAAGGTTTTAGGATCAGCTCCCTGAACCACAGCATTTGATCATACGGGGCGACTCGGAGAAAAACGAACAAACCGAAGATATCGTTCAGATCTTTATGAATCGGCGTACCCGTCACGCACCATCTGCGAAACGAAGGCGATACTCATGACTGGTGATGGAACGACGAAGGATTCTCGAGATGATGAGTCAATTCATTCAGGAGTCGGATATGATATCGAAGCATATGCCCACCGATTTATAGCCGGTATCGATAAGACCATCTGAGCCGCTTTCACGGTTGAAGACTCGACCATTTGTGCTTCATCCAAGGCCACCCGCCAGAACTCTGCCGATACTAATGGTGACGGCATTGCCTTGTGCCGTTTCGGTGTGCGCAACCTGCGCTGACCGTCCGCAGGAGCTGACGAGAGAAGAGGTGCTCGTGAGGGGCTCGTAAGTGAAGGATTAGCAGCGCGATCTATGAATCGATCAGGAAGGTCCTCTGACATGCCGGGACGTCCTCGAAAGGGATCGCGCTCTCGCGAACTCACCTGTGGTCACATTCGCGTGGTATATCTCCTTTCTTAAAACTCCGTAGGTCGTTATGATCAAGTCAAATTTATTCAAGCGATCCGGTGGGACGTAGCCATGGTGCCGAACCCCCTGATAGACGAACACCCGCAAGGAGCATTCTCCGACGAGCCAGTTGATCTGCGAGGAATGGGATTATGAGTCCAAGTCCCCAAATAAAACGAAGAAGACGCTCCCAAGAGCATTGGAATCAGAGAAATCACCTCGTCCGTCCATTGCTCGCAAATACTCGCTGGACAAACGATCAGAGTCGCTCTGATCGGGAACAGGGTCTCCGAAGAGGCCCAGCACTGAGGGCATTTCGCCGAGACATTCGCCGGACAGCTCGCTATCACGGACTGAAAATGTTGATGAAATAAATGGATGTTCCGAATCGCGTGTCTACCGGACCGAATCGTTGGAAGAGAAGCAAGACTGCGCATTGGGCGGTAGGGAATGCCGGGAGACTCTAGAATGGGTAAGAAGTTATTATTATCGACTTACGCTGTTGCAGCTCCCGCATGTGTATCGACACGCTTCTTTTTTATCTTCCTCTATGACGATTCCAGTGTCCTCGTCCTGAAATACCCCGAGTACCATGAGATGGACGAAGCGTGGAATCGGGACGGTTATAGCGGATACTGGTCACGACACGAAAAATTCGCAGGTAGAATTCTCAGTCGATCGAGACCGGTTGGGCCCTTGGTGGGAGTCTCTTTGATTTGCCTTGAGCTCAGCGGGCTCCATCTCTCGGGAATCTCGGACCATGACCATCATTGTGGAATAAAAAATAACAATCGATCGGCACGAACCGTTACGGGAAAGCCGGGGCGGGGTCGGCTCAAGACGAGCGCGATTACCTCCAGAGTTTTCCCTAGACCCATTTCATCGGCTAGGATGCCTCCGGGACGGAAGGTGACTTTGTTGTGTGCTGGGGGGATACTCCGCGCGAAGCTGGAGATGGGGAACCGATTAGTGAAACGCGCAGAAGTTATTCCGAGATCCGGCGACACTCAGCCGGACCCAGGGGAAGAGTGAGCGGGGTAACCTACCATCCTAGGAATCGGTTGTAGTATACGCTTCGACCTCTCTTGTCTTCGATTGTTCGCCACAATTCTTCGCACTCCTCAGATTGAGGCTCGGTTTCCATGCGACACATCCACGCCACTGCCTCCCGTTGATAGTCTCGGAGGGTAACCTGGAGAGCAGGAATCAGCATCGAGTTCCCACAAAACAGAGAGGAATATGAAAACGGAAACTTTTCCCCAAGATTGGCACGAACCTTAAGCGGACAGTAGACCGGTGTGGAGATCGGTAAAATGCCCTGACTCCGTTGGTCGTCCAGGACCGTCTGGAACAGGCGATCGTAGTCCTCGGAATCCTCGAGAGTTGTTGTGTTCTCTGTGAAGTCGAGATCGCGTCCAGTTCCTGTCCTTGCGGAATACGAACTTCGGTGGCTCTTGGAGCGAAATCCTCTGATGAGACCGACTCACCTCGGTAGCTGACATTGTGGAAAAACGACACCAGTTTCTTCATGTCTTGCATCCCTGAGCAGCTCACGGCTTCGAGCCGACTCGCTAGTACAGGAACGAGCGACTCCGGAATGAAAATCGCCAGGTTGAGCTCGAGTTCCGAGCTGCCCTGAATGCTGATTATCGGGGCCTGGAACCGTCTGTTCCGGCAAAGTAGGGCTTCGACGACATCTTCAGGCAGATCGGTGCTGACTTTGCACGATCGAATCTGTGAATTCAACTCGTTGAGCCAATGACGGAACCATTGTCTGTTTGGACAACGAACTGAAAAATGGGACCGACACTAACCTCCGAGCCCCCTCCCAATTCCCACAAGACGTGCATATCTTTATCCTTATCGACCGTCCAGTAAGCTCCGGTGCTGATGAGCGAGGGGTCCAGATTCGATCCCGTCAAGTTGAATTCCCCCAATTGAAACAAAGTGCTGTGCGAGCCCGCAGTCGGAATCAGTTTCACGGAATGATCGTAATGCTTGGATATCATCGAAATGATGGATGATCCAGCTGGAACGGAATTTCCTAACTGATAGTTTTTCACCAACGTATGTGTTGGCTCCCGGAGACATCTCGGTACAGCGGCGGCCTCAAACCTGATTTCCGCTTCTTCGACGGGGTCTCCGGAGCAGGCAAGGATTGTCCGATCTCGTCCACGTCTATTTCTTCTTCTGGCGGCTCCGTTTGTCTGGCACACCACGACAGTCTCTGCTGAGAGCTCTCGTCTAGTCGAGACGGCGCTTCTCTCTTGCTAAAATTCAGTAAAAATTAAACCTCAGGGGTGTAAGGAGGAGCTAAGGTTATTGATTCCCAGAAGTCCACTCTGCCTGGCCCCGGAAGGAGCGAAGATATTGCTCAGTAGATTCCAAAAATTCGTATTTGGGTGGAACGAAACCATGATCACCGCATATCGTGACGGAAACATTTATGTACGCGCAGCTCCGTACTACTTCGTCCGGCCAGCCGTCTTGGTTGCAGAGAAGGAAGCCTCGCTCCGCGACAAACAAAGTGTCAAGAATCTAAATATCTCTCGCGCGGAGTCCGAACTCCTCAAGTATATTCGCGGAGGGCACTCAGACGCATCAGAGTTCTCCGCATCCAAAGGCATCAGTCGAACGGAGACGAAGATTTCGACTGCCGACCGTCACCCGAGGACTTACCGTCGGGAGCTCCCAGCGGCGGATGAGGCGCCGTCGAGGTTGGGTGCACTCTCCATGGGAGATGTTTTTTTGAGTCAGGAACTCACGAGTCAGAGGGTAGACCCCTCACACGATTAGAGCGCACACCATGAAAGAATTTGAATTCGAATTCTTCTGAACCGTCCTGTTGACATATATCAGCTGCTGGATCAAGCGCCGCGAAAGCATTCGTAAACAATGACCCTTTCCCCTGCAGCAGGCGGCGCCATATTCTCTGATCGGCTCATGCTCCCAATCCTGTCGAACGGCGGGAGGATGCGGTGATTTTTCCCAGCGGTGAATTTGACTAGAGGAAGCGGACGAATGGCGGGCTGTAGTCAGGGAGGTGAGAATTTTTAGAAACCAACGGCGAGGCGATCCCATGACGCCGCTCGGGGAGGGCGGCTGAGCGAAGTTCTTGGAACGCCGGTCTTGCCTTCCACGTTTGGAGGTTTTTTGGAACGCTCGATCCGCCGAGTCTTTTATTCTGCGCGGGTTTATCTCTATGATGTCGCGAGCTCGTGCAACGAGCTGGTGATCTGCACCCATGGTCCGGACGCGCTCAGATCCAGCTCACATTGGCTCTCGCTCAGGATACTTGCGATCCTTGATCGGAGATGCGTGGAGGTTCTGAGTTGAACCTGGAGCCGGGGGATTAGCTAGCGAGAGTTCCCGAGCGGTTGCTCCAAGTTCCCCCCCCCAGAAGGGAGCATGGACTATGTCTTCGGGTTTCCGGGTCCGGCTCTCACCGTTCCATTCTCGGGGATGACAGAACTTCTCAAGAAGAGAGCTTCGTCGGGAAGTCTCTCTCCCCGTCGTAAAATGAATTTTCCGCAATGATCGAGCACCTCGCGGCGATCGTTCCTATACGGCTCGGAAGCTGATTGATTGTTTGCTCCTGTTGCAGATCGGAGCTCTGAGAGCTCCCTGAATTTAGAGTCTCAGGGAGAACTGAATACGAAGGAAATCGCGAGGGAACTCTTCGTTGCGATTAAGGAAAATCAATCGAGGAACCTCGCAGACAATCAGGTGTTCCTTACAGAGCTGTATTCCTGTATCGATAGCGACGTCAAACCGGAGGGTGAGTGATCACTTCTGAGCACCTGCCCGTGCTCGAGAATGAGGTTTGGCAGTGTCGAGTCGACGATGAGGAGGCACAGTTATCGATTTCTCTATCGCGCTCTTCTTTGCAGAGGTCCAGTGGAAACCAGCGGCTCCGAAGAGTGAATACGATCAACTCCGCCTCATCCATGCGTCGCTATGCCTGCAAGAGTTCAAACGAGCCGAGTTCTTGTCGCGGAGCTGCGAATCGAAACTCATGACTTTCTTGCATTTCTGGGCCAGACTCCGGAAGGCCGAACTGGATGCCAAAGGAATCCTTAGCGCGAACAATATGCCGTTTTCGGCAACTTTCGACAAGCGTCAGGTAAGTTCCATAATCGCCCGCTCATCGAGAACTCGCAGGCATTACGAAGAAGACATGGCAGGCGCTGGAGAAAACCGATTGGCTACACATACGTTCGATGACTCAATGTTTCGTGACATTCAGCGTGTATTGCCGCAGACGTATCTAAAGATACTGAAAGACCTAGAGGACACCGCGAAGGTGGACGACGACGGGTACCTGAATTTTGTCAAAGCCAAAGTACTCCTCCTACTTCGGAGACAAACAGACGCGAGGGATTGTCTTCTCTCGGGACTGAATAGGGAGCCGTGCAATTGGATGGGCTGGTCGTTGCTGCACAAGTTCGTCACATGCAAGGAACATCTGAGCTACGTAAGTCTGGTGTCAATCCAATCAGTTCAGGTCTGAAGGGATCATTTTCCGTGTTCCGCGGGTGGAGCCTGAGTTTTCAATCCAAATGAGATCATTTTCGCCTCACCCTAGATCAGAAGACATCCTACCTCAGGTTTCAGACTATCTGCATGATCATTGGATGAAGAGATTATTTCTCGCCGACATCAGATGTTCCGTGGTTCCGCTAGCCCAAGAGGATGACATAACAGCCGTGTACCAAGAGTTCCTCGAAGTATTCGTCGACTCATCGTATATTCTGACGCAAATGGTGATAGCCCAACAGAACCAGCGTCAGGTTTACGCGGCGCTACAACTATTTAACAAGGTATTCCGAATTCGAGCGAGTACTCCGTGTCACGGGTGAATGTCGCGGAATGACGCAGGCAGCTGGGAGACACGCTCCACAAACTCACCACTCTTTTGATCTGTGTTGATGCATGAGAGAATCTGGGAATTTCTTTCTCCCTGTGGAACAGGTTCGAACCCTTGACCCCTATCGTCTGGATCAGCTGGACGTATACTCCAACCTCCTCTATGTGAGAGGGTCGGAGGTCGAGTTGACTTATCTGGCTCACTTCGCCATGAGCGTTAATAAGTATTGCAAGGAAACCTGCGCGGTCGCGGCGAACTTCTTCGCCTTAAGGTGAGCTTGGTAGAATTCACGAGAGAAACCTCTGAAAAAAAGGCTCGCCCCTTACCCTGGTCGGTCGGAGATCGTCCGGAATATCGATTGACGCTGCTTTGATTTGTCAGGGGTCAGCACGAGAAGGCGGTTGAATATTATCGGAGGGCTCTGAAATTGGACCCGGAGTATTCTCAGGGATGGACGCTCCTCGGTCACGAATGTGTTGAAGTCAAAGACACGACGTCCGCCATCGAGGCATATCGTCAAGCGTGCCACATTAACGAAAACGATTATTACGCATGGTGAGTATGAGGCTCTGATACATTTTCTGGAGTTTTACTCTGCGGGCCCCCAAAATGTGACTCTTCGGAATCCTCTTCAAGGTATGGCTTGGGCCAGTTGTTTGAAGTACTGAAAATGCCCTACTTCGCACTCCGGTATCATCAAAAAGCCCACTCACTTCGACCGACCGACTCCCGGATTGTCGTCGCTATGGGTGACTGTTATCAGAAAATCGGGAAGTTGGACGACGCAAAAAAGTGTTACTACAAAGCATACCAGACCGGAGATATCGAAGGGATGGTCTTGCACAATCTCGCCAAGGTGAGACTCTTGAGCGAGTCTCTTACCTCTGCTATCGAATCAGTTCTGCCAGGGGTTGGCTCGGTTGTCGACCCCGCTTGCGCAAATTCATTCCTTTTTAACTTGTCCCTGCAGCTGCACGAGAAGCTCGATGAGCACGAAATAGCTCGGGAGTGCTATCGAAAATTTTTAGACGAATGTGAGGAGCGTCGTATGCTGGACGTTGAAGAGTTGGGCGATGCCTTCCTCTACTTGGCGAGAGCGCACTTGTGAGTATAATTGAAATTCTTCGGTTCGTCCGTCGGAGTTGAGGAGGCCACAATCACGAGCGCTTCACCGCAAAGGCTACTTCCCTGAGAATCAGGACGACCCAGTATCTACCCCGCGGATCCGCTAACGTGTTGCGAATTCCTCCCACAGAAAAGAGAGGAATTTGGACGAAGCTTTGATTTTCGCTCAGAAGTGCTTCATTTTTGGACCGAAGAGAGAGGAGAGTAAAATGGTTATCAAGGAGATTGCGGCTGTCCGGGAGAAAGAGAATGAGATCTCTCGGAGTCTGGTCAAGACGCACTCAACAAATAGGCAGTCCCTGAAGTTCACGTGACGGATAGCCGATTGTTCTGGAAGTTAATTTCATTTAATAAATTTTTCGAGAGTCGTGGCTTATTGCAGTATCCCTCAATGACTCGCAGTGGCCCCTACGTCATTCATCGGAGGGCAGGCGATCGATCAGAATAAGATTATTGTTATGGATAATGTTTTAAGAATGATCCGGTCGAGTAGGTCAACCGCCAGCAGCGAACGGCATCGAGTGTCGCCTTCTCACATCTCTGCCTCCAGCGTGTGAGTCGGGCAGCGTTCCGCATCCTTCCGAGTGGCTCATCCTTCCTCTCGAGCGAGATAGAAAGATATGAGAAGTTGGTTGACAACCTGCGACACGTAACTCTCTTCTCGATGTCCTCCATGAGGTGCGACACGTAACTCTCTTCGCGATGTCCTCCATGAGGATAGTGCAATCATACACTCGCCCCCAAGAGAACCATAGATTGATTGATTGATGAAAAATATTTGATGAAAATTGTGAAGAAAATACGTGTCTGCATGAAAGTACAGTACAAACTCGATAATATCACCTAATTCGTGTTCAAAAATGGTGATATAATCGAGTTTGTGCTGTACAGGCGTTCTCCTAGGGTGGATAAGATCCCCTTGAGATATAACGTCCCAGAAACGAATTTCCCAACGAGTCGGGAAAACTCAGGTCGCGAGCATCTCCAAGTTTCTGCAGCAGAAGAAAACAAATCGAATTTGGCGGGTGAACACAACGACGCGAGATGATGCTCGTGATTCTGCCTGAGGAGAAAAGTTCTCAAACCGGTTGGATCGTAGGACAGTGAGGACTGTCCGAGTGGGGTAGTCTCGCGCGATATCGATCGAAGAGGTTATTCAGAGTGTTCATGAAGTCAATCGAAGAATGCGAGGAAACTGAAGAATGACAGGAAATCGAGCAAAACAACTGATGAGTATGTCAACGACTTGAAGAATTCGTTCGAAGACGGCGCTCAGATGTCTCGTCTGCCTACCTTCGCCCAAGGCGTTCAGTTCTGTGTGGATACAACCCCCGACCGTCCTCCTGAGGAGCAACACCATTCCTCCAGGAGCCAATGGGAACCAAGACCCCGATTCCAGCAGAGGGGATTTCGGGGAGGACCCGGAAACTTCAGAGGAGAATACAGAAACGCGAATCCTAGAAACTTCCGGAATTTCTCGCCCAGAAACCCCCCCGGGTCAGGACAGGGTTACGGAACAAGACAGTGGAATCCTCGGCGACCGAATTTCAGCAACCCTTACGAGAAGCAGCTGACGCCGCGCGACTACGCACCTCGCCAACAGAGATGGCAACACAGTTTCAGAGGGGGACGAGCGCCACTATCCTCTGGGTTCGGACCCTGTGCCAGCGGAGCCAGTGCGGAGACATTGGCGATCATCGATGCGTTCGTGAAGCCGTCTATGCTAGAAGATCCCTGGAGATCCTTCGAGACATCCAGTGTTCCTGTTACGCCAAAAAAAGGAAAATTCGGTGAGAGCGATGACGACGCACATGGTGATTGTTTACCCTCAACCTCGCGCAACACAGCCGAAGATACTCCGAAAGGCGATGGCGACGACGAGGATTTCAATCTGAAAGATTTCATTCCGAATGTATGATGAGCCAATGTGCATATTGAATATACACTGTACAGATACAGATTCTCAGAGGATGCTTGATGTCAGGGGAACAGTGAGCCGAATCAGGGGGGGGGGCACAGATTCATTCCTTCCGTTTTAATAAATTATTATCGGACCCCCTTACAAGGTGGAAATTAAGCTGCCCAAAGATGGATGATACGCTTTTATTCGGCTTTCGGGAACCAAGAACCGAAACTAGATTTTGGGTAGTTTCCCTTAACGTTGAGGTACAACAAATCTGTGAGCTTCTAAACAACGCGTCAAACCAACAAAAATCCGATTTTCATAGACTTATTTCCCTGGATTCTCGGAACCATTCTTCTCTCGATGCTTTCTATATACGTGAATATGGAGCTCGGTCTACTAAATCCGGAAAGCGGCCTAGAACGGTGCCATCAACAGGTGCACATGAGTGTACAAAAAATGAAGCGCCAAACGCGGAAAATTCGAAAATTCCACCGATTATACAGTTTCAGGTTTCCTTCTCGCATCTCTCTTTGAGCAATCTTTCGAGAGCGGAAGTTCCTTGGGTTGGTTTCTCCGGACGCCATAGAGAGCCCTTCTGCGGTCTGGGAGCGAGACCGTTGGGAGCCGTCAGGGAGCCGATTCCCATCAACTGCTGATTCGAAGGTCCTAACAGAGGAGCTGGACCCATCGACATCGTGGGGTTCCATGAATTCCCGCTGAATAAGGAGTACGTCCCCGTTGGCCTCACGAAGGCCGAAGCTTGAGAAGTTCTAGGATCGGTCGCCGGTCTGAGAGGGGCCCTCGGAGGAGGCGTGACGTAACGTATATCGACATTGTAGATGGGTGGCGGGGGTTGTTTAACTAGTTCCTCTATCGTCAGTGGATAGGGTCCGGGCGGATGCGGAAGAGCTGCCGCACCGGCCGCCGGCTGTAGGGATTGGGGTGGAGGAGGCGGCGGCGGCGGGGGAAGGGGCTGAGCAACCGGCAGGTTATAGCCCCAACGGGGCCCATACTGAACTGTTGCGTGAGAATGCTGAAACGCCATGGGGCTCGGGGAGAATATCCCCTCGTTGGTCGGAGGGAAGCGCTCCTGTTGCTGCATGATGGCTTGTAGCGCGACGTTTTGCCGTTTAGGTTTCTCTTTCGATATTTCGTCGTTGACGCTGAAGCGAACGGCAGGTCTGGACTCGTCGCCCATTTTCAGTCGTTCCAACTCCAGGCTGAGGCTCAAATCTGTCGTTGAGACCGGCTGCGCATGGAACTCGTTTTCCTCGAACCTCAATATGTTCGTGCCATCGATGAACTTCAGTTTGCACAGCTCGATACCCTGTTTCACGAAGCGGCTGCGACGAAGTTCCTCGACGAGCTCCGCGGGCCTCTTGTCGTTTTCGTTGAAATCGATACGGGACTGCACATGTCTGAGAGGGAGGAAACCCCGTAGCTCGATATCTTCCGGTAGAGCCTCGTTCTTCCACTCGGTCTTCAGTTGTTTATTGAACGAGTTCAGCACCGTACGGAGCACGAACCAGAGATCTTTGCACGGATCCGTTGAGACGCTCTTGGGATTCGAGAGCAACGACTCCAGGAGGACTAAGATCGTGGACGTCGTTGGACAACCACTTTCCCCGCTGTTCTGCAGAGTGGCCAACAACGCCCCCCGGAAGAAACTGACGACGAACTCGCTCATCAATCGAGAGCTCTCTTCCGAGCCTTTTTCCGTCGCCAGATGCTTCGAGCTCCGGTTGTAAGTGAACAGGCCGATCGTGGTCATCATCAGAAGCTTTTTCTCGTCAATTTTCTTCGAGCACGACAATCTCAGTAGCGAGTCCATGAGCTTCGGGAGAATCTCCGCCGCGATATCCAATTGTTGATTCATGTGAACTAAGGCTATGAAATGCAAGAACGCAGATATCGTCTCCGTAGCGTTCATGCGATCCTTCACGGGTGAGCTTTCGTCTTGGATGATGTTAACGTAGATCTTCTCCAGGTTGGAAATGGCCACCACGAATGGTTGAACGACAGAGAGGCTGCGCACATAAAAGAATACAGTCGACAATCGATTTCCTTTTGCTCCTTCGAGTAAGCCGAGCTGGTTGTAGGGATGCCCGTTGCGATGGTCGAAGTCGGCAGCCCGCCGGTAGTAGCTTTCCGCGACGGGCATGTCCTTCTTGTACCGGGACAGATCGCCGAGATGAAGTAAGCAGTACTGACAGATGGAGAGCACTCGTGAGCGCTTCGTGATTCGGACTTCTTCCGGAAGCGTCGTATTCTCACGCACGTCCAAGACACCTAACGTGTCGGGACTCGGCATCGCCTGTCGAACAAATCGGAACGAAAAATGAGAGCTGCTATCGAAAAACGGATGAGGGATGCCGGGTCGATGTCTTAGGAACATATCGAATTGGACAGCGTTCTGCATTTTGAGCTGACGGTCGTTGAGGGTCGACTCATCGATCGAATGATCCCCCATTACCTTGACTTCGGAGACTCGATAACGATTGACCAGTTTCTGCAAGAGCTGGAGGAAATAGGAAGCCGACATATCGATCATCAGGCCCAGTCTCAGACTCCTGTCTGCACTGTTATCTTTCTGTATCGTGGTTATGGCGGATCGGAATCCAACATTCCACAAGTCCTGTTCGAGTTTGCGACTAATCGCAAACTCCAAATCGTGGAATAAGACATCTTCGACTAGAGAGCAGAACCTGCGAACGAGGATCGGAGACGAAATCTCATTAAGGCGCTCTCTTTGTCCCGTTGCAAAAATCCCCAGCATGGCTTTCATGTCAGTGCCGTGCATTCCACAGGTCCTCACCCTTTGCGTAGCTCGTGGGTTCTCTGATCGAGAGGGTCGACGGCAGCATTAAGTTCCGTCCGGACTTTTTCCAGTTCCTTGAGGGTCTCATTAGCCCCGCGGACCCGCATGACAGTTGATTCACCTCCTACGATGATGAACAACTACCACCACCACCACCGTCGACACTCGTAAGCGTGTTATTGAGCTGCTGCTGCTCTCAGCTGCGACGTCGTCTGCTCTGAGCCCGGAGTGTCTGCTAAGAAGTTTAGACGGGACCCGATAAAATTTCAAAAGCTATTCTCCCTGTTTCCGGACTCCCCTTGAATATCTGGGCACATTCCCGGATATCGCCGGCACGCTGCGGAGCGTGAAGGTCCAAACCTCCAAAGGATCCCATTCCGACAGGCATGTCGTTGCTGGAAGCTGCGGTGGGAACCGAGCTTCGTTGAGGAACTCTTCTTCCTCTCATATTCGAATGAGAACTCTTCCGGAGGGAAGTTCCGATCACAAACGTCCAATCCAAGCGAGGGGGTAGCAATGCAAAATTTTCTGAAGCGGATTCCACGCTCTGAGTACGGATCTTGTTCACGTCGGTATCCGCGAGATCCGCCGCGTCAACTTGTCGACGGAACGATTCTGTTTATTTTGTTCGAAGCCCTCCCCGTGTCGGTGAGTTAGTTGAGTATAAGCTGTGGCCGTGTGTGGTGCTCCTCGAGCTGTGAGTTATGCAGGGGCCCCATATACAAGGGCCCTCTGTCCCCCAAGTCTGGAAACCAGCTCGTGATTGCAGCTAGAAATCCCCGAGAGGTGAGCACAGCTATGTCTAGAGCTAAAATATTTTTTCCCAGGGTATTTCTGAAGTTTTCCCAAAGTTAGAGGGGCGCCCTACCGATGCACCTGGCTCGGCGGCGGTAGCGGCGTCCGAGAGCGCCAGGTGTCCCCAACGTAAACGTCGCTTCGCCCGGGAACGTCAACGTCTGTCTTGTTGTTTGTTAAGGAAAATGTAGCTTTGTCTGACCTGACAGGGGCGAGCAGCGAGACAAGGAACCATAAACAAATACAGCCGATGAACTTTCCGAAGTTTTGAAGCAAAAAAAAAATCTTCTGCCGAGAGCACGGCGATGAGCTCTTGTCAGCTCTGAGCTCTCAAGAACATCGAGTAGAGTTCGACTCGTGATTTTTACGAATCCAATGCTTCTGAACACTCAGTTGACACTGACAGTCGCAGCTATGGCAGACATCAAAACTTCTCTTCCGTAGCTTGTCTGAGCGAGAGATAATCCCGAACCTCCTTCAGGATCGCTGGAAATTCGGAGAATTTCTCCGAAGGCTTTGTGTGAGTTTGTCACAAAAGTCCTTCCGCGTGGGTACCGCACCCGGATAGAGTGGTTCACGGCGAAAAAGAAACTTTTCAGAACACTCGACGAGCGCGATTGGGCTTTTCAGCTAAAATGCGAATTTCGTCTCTTTGCCGGGGATCGTATTACCGACAAACTTTCGAGAATAACGGCGGCGCGGCGCAATGTTCACCAGCTTATGGCGAAAGCTGTCGATTCGGCCGTATAGTCCGCCACGGCCGTAACCGGTGTACGTTCACGTTTCTCCGTTATCAGAGTGTTGAGTTCCCCGTGTTCGGAAATTCACTTCCAGACAGCGGTTCGAAAGGTTTTTTGAGGCTTTTGAATGGTGAGCTGCATAGGGGCAGCGGGCGGAGCACTCAAGCGATTCAGAACCCCGAATCACCGGGTTCAGAAAGAGAAACGCTTTGAATATCTCCACTCGAGACTAAGAACGTCCGAGATGGGTCAAGGCATAAGAGTTCCTTGCCGTGTGGAGCTTGAACGTATCATGAAGTTATGGTCATGGTGGCATAGGCCTTCGGAAGGAAAAAAGGGTGGACGGCGGAAGCTCTATGAGGAGGGGCAGGGGAAGACCGACAGTTTCTCCCCCGGTAATTCAGTTTTATGGACAGCCGTGGTGACGGCAGCGCAGCGGTAGTCTCCGCTGCGGTGGAGTCTGTGTGGTCATCGAGTTTTTTCTCCGTTCTTTTCCGGAACCACGCATTTTCCGTTCATATGACCCAACGGTGGTGGTGGCGGGTGCGCGACGGTGACTTCGTCATGGGATTTGGCCTCACCCGGACGACAACAGCTTTTGTTAAGTCAACATCTCCCAGCGGTTATTTTTCTGACCAAGTGAGAGGTGGCGAAGATCCGAGCGAGCTCAGGGTCGCTCCGCTCACCCTTCCGATCGACGCTTGCGAACGAAGAGTGATACGATGTCAGCGATGATACGGGTGGACGGATTGGATGTGCAATCGACTAACTAACCGATCGATCGATGCCGCCAAGCCGGTCCTTGCCGGTTGCCCCGGTCCCTTCTCCGACCATTGTAGTTGCTCCTCTGTGCTAGAAACCTGTTCGTCATTGGAGCCCGCCCCTCTCATTCCCTCCATCTCCCTCCCGACCGTCGAACGATCGTAAAGGAAGGCTCGAAGCCGCAAATGACACCGCGACTTAAGAGAAGCCTTAATTTGTTCCTGGGCTCCAATCCCTTCTGTCTTGTTGTCCTTGTCGGAGTCGTTCCGTGTTTTTCCCAAAGGTCGAGTAATCCGCCTGTCTCCCCGCCTCCCGTTCCCTGAGCGAGTTCGAGTGGAAAACACAAAACACGATCGAGTCCTCTGGGGAACAAATCATTCTCGCGACAGCTTAGGGAGAAATTGAGTGACGTCTCCGTTTCTCCCTCTTTTTGCCCTCGCGCAACGTCAATGAAGTCATTACAATATCACGTTTATTTTTCCCCCGTTCCCCCTTGCCTCATTCTCCGTCTCCTCCCGATCGATAATTAATCGTCGGCTGAACTCGCGAATCTCAGTACGTCGGCTACGACGAAAAAAAAACAAGAAGAAGGGAGAATTTCGTGTGAAGGGGGTTGATTATTCTAATCATTATGGGCGAACAAGGGTATCATCAGAAGGTTCATCAGTCGTGCCGCCTCCGTAATTGAAATACGAGAGTATTGCTCGTATCGCCGTCGGTATCGGCGTGCCGTCGCTTGAGAGTATCATCCGACGTCGTCTTCGCCTCCGACGACGAGGCGACGTTAGCGGCTGACTGAGATCTTAACTTTGTGAGGGAATCCCCTCCAGTAGTCGATGGTACCGATGCCTCTGGGCCGGTGCGACGGCGGGCGGCGGCGTCAGCACCTTAAACAAGGCGAGTGTTTGGCTTGAGGCATTCCCATGAGTCATTCAGTTTCGAGTGTTTCGGATTCCGCACTTTCGCTACTCGAGGAGCCAAGTTCACCCTAGAGAGGGACGATTAACGTCGCAAGCGGCCGTCCGTTCGCGGCTCACGTCTGCTTGATGCTCAAGTATGTGACAGAGTTGCAGAGTAACAACTTGAGAGCAACAAACTCGAACGACATCGTAAACGTTAACCCAAACAAGAAAATTCTCGGTGGTCGACGTCTCCGCGGCTGTTTTTGAAAGCGGCTGCCGGCAGCAACCGAACGCTTTTACTTTGGCCAAGCTCAGAGCCCCTCCTAACCCTCCCCGTCAGCGTCGTCGTCCTCCCACTCCTCCTCATTCGATCTTGCTCTTCCCGTCGACGTTGCCAGCGCTGCGTCCGTAGTCGTCCCGGGAGGGCGGGCTTGTTCGTCCGGAGATAGAAAACGCCTCTGGGAAATCTGTGCTCGATCCGCCCCGAATTCCTCTCCGGTACCAGCTGCGCGGTGTCTTCGAACAACAACAGCAGCAGCAAACACAGCAACTGCTCAATCCCTTCGGTAACACCTGGGAACAAGCGGCAGGGGGGTCTTGCGGTGGCGGCGACGACTACGACGTCGACGACTAGAACTGGAATAACATGAAGAACGTGAGCGAGCTGCTCCTACCACCGACCGGATATATCCGCTGATTTATTGAAAACATATTTATTGCCTCGTACGATTGGTTTCTGTTTATTGTGCGTTGGTATTAAGGACAAAACCCCAGCTCTCCGAGATCTCGGTGCGTCGGCTGGGGTTCGCGCCACGAGACCGGAACACATTCCATCTCCGTTTCCCTTGTCGTTTTGTCGTTCGATTTCCGTTGCCATGATTGTGGAGGATCAGCGCTCCGACCCCGGCGCATCATCTGAATTCACCGGGAGTAAGTCGAAGGACGTGGCGTCGAAAAAATCTTGTTTCATCACTCGGAAGACCGGGTTGGACGTTGCTGCCGGATCCTCTGTTGCTCTCGTCCATGGTCGTAAAAGTTTAAATCCAATTACGTCTACTTTTATTACATGGAGAGAATTAGCCGCAGAGCCTGTAAGTCACTCGCTGCTGCGCACCCTCTGGATGCTCGAAGTTCACGCGCGATGTACGTTCATATGATCATAAGCTGGAGATACAATGTGTGCTACTTTCGTACTTGCGGGAGTAGAGCTAGAGAGCTTAACAAACGACCTCACGTACCTGAAACCACTTTTCTTAGTTTGCCACTCAGCATAATCCCTGCTTGTTAGAGAGGAGAAGGAGATGGGGCGGCTGTCTTCCACTTCTTCTTCCTCTTTCCCTATTCCCTGCCTCGAGCGCCGATCCAACCACTCGGAGGAACCGAAATCCCACTCGGTTGGAGCGGAGTCTCTGTTTATACTGCGTGTGAGTTCCTTTCGAATAGTCTCAGTCAGTCATTCAGCCAGTCAGTCAGTCAGCCGATGGAAGCTAAGATGGACTGAACCGATTCTTGAGGAACTTTTAAGATGGCCGGCCGCTCCGAGCAAGAAGTGCTCCCTTTCTCCGAGGAGTTCGGTTTTATTGGCTGTCAAACTTTTGAAGGATTTGATAGCTCGCTTCTATTCTCCCACATTCCTGAAATGATCCTTCGCAATTCCCCGGGTCAGCTGGCGAGAGTTCCGGCAGCGCTCAACGGCAAAATGTTCCGTTCCCTTCCAGACTCCGAGAAACTCCTCCGCGGGATCGATTTCGACGGAGATAGAAAATACATCGGTTCCCTATATTACGCTCTTTCCGTTTCGCAGCAATACTGGAGGCGCTTACCCCGCAGTGATTTTCCATTAGGTCGCTTTTGACGCTTTCCTCTCGTGATATCCGATCCCGAATCCCATTCTTGAATGTCCTACCTCATTCTCGTGCATTATTCTCTCCTCTCGCTGCAGTACTCGTCGTCCTCCATCATTCTGGTCCATGCATACCGACCTTGATGATGCCCTCGTTTTCTCTCCGTGTCGGTCCCCGCCGCGAACATCCCCCCGGAGATGTGGTTTCACTCGGTTATCCTCGATGTGTTCCTTCATTCATTCTCGCTCAGTAATCCCTGTCGTTCCCCTTGAGCTGATTGAGTTATCCTGTCGGTATCCTCCGGATCCTTGACGCAAACTCCCTTTTGTGTTTTTCGTCCTTCTCCAGATGCCTCTCAACTGCACACCGGTCTCGTTCTTATCTTGCCCGTCGAGCGTCATCTGCCTATTCACTCTTGTTTCTCCTGCTGCTCCTTAATTGGCCCTCGACTCACTCGGTCGATGTTCTGTCTGCTCTTTTCGCAGAAACGCTCATCTCGCAAGCGGAAGCGAACAGCTCTCCTGAACCGACGGCGGCCGTGGCAGCGGCGGCACCGACGGATGGTGTTGCGAGCGCGGTTTTTGCAGATCGGTTTTTTCCATTAGGTGCGGAGCTTTGGGAGTGGCAAAAAGTTGCATTCGACTTGCTCCGGCGGATTGAGCTCCCGGTGACTTTTATTATTCATGCGAGTAGGTGCGCAGCTCTGATGATTTATCTTTCTTCGATCGCGCTCCCGAAGCGTTTCGCCCCTCTCTTGATCAATGATGATCCATCCTGGATCATGAAAGAGCCGGCGACGACCGAGCCAGCTGGCGTGTCCGCAGGCAGAAAATCAAGACTTCGCACCTAGAATCGACGAGTATCATCCGAAGTTTCCTCCTTTCCGGTGTCGGTCCCCGGAGGGAAATGATCGTCGCATCGCTAAAATGAGCATCGATATCCGAATGGGAACGTTCTCGACAGATGTTGGATTCGATGCGTCCCGCGATCGAACCACCGAGTCACCGAGCGACCGTGCGACCGAGCGAGCAAACGAACGACGCGGAAGCAGAATGCGGCGGGGAGATTATTTCCAAACAGTTTCATGTCTCATCTCTCGGATCAATTCAAACACTCACATCGCAGAATACGTAGACACACCAGACGATCATGCGATTCATGCACGGATCTGCTCGACCCCCGTTGTGCCATCGCTGTCGGGGGCTCTGAATCATTTGGTGGGGGCTTTTGTTTCATGTTTATAATTACGAGGAAGGCGTATGAGGGAATTCCAAAGCTCCGCAAGCTCGCGTCCAGATACGATAATGAAACGGATGTTTACTCATTTTCGTCCGAGCGATGCATATGAGCGACCTGCCGATCGTTCTCGGGACGGCAGATATTACGTTTACGGCCTTCCCGATGAGGGAAACTATGAAGCTGATTGCGATCAGGCTTGAATTCGCAGAGATTCGTGTCTCTTGCGAGCTCTGGCGGGCAGTGGGCCCGAGAGACCCGAATGCGTACAGGCGCGAGCGCTTACTGGCAAACGTGCCGTTGTTACCCACGGCGAAGCATTCTGCTCCCTTAATCGTTTTCTCGAGGCTTCAATGGAGCGCGTTGAGGATCGGGGGGAGCAGATCTGTCGGGAGAGTTTTCCTTAAACTCGACCCCGGTGCGGCTTGCCTCCGGTTGGATTGCTGGATTGGGTCGATAATAGTTCGATGAGATATTCCGTTTGGGTGCGCGAACTCGATCGATTGAATGTGAGGATGGAAATATTTGTGGCAAAACCAGCGCTCGCGAACATTGCCAGCCGTGGTCCGAAATGAATCGGCGTCGGAAGGAATAAAGCAAAGCAATGCGTTGCTCTCGGGACCGGGAAGGAATCCAATTAGGCTTCCCCCCCAGTGCTTGGCGCCTCCTAGGCTACACCGCCGAGCAGCGCCGTCGGTTCCGTTGTTGATCCGCTCGTTCTTACGGCTATCCTTGTTGTTTACTATTAATATTGTTATTATTATTTGTGTGGTCATTCCTTCCATTAGTACCCATGTTATTACTCGAGCGATTGTTTAATGCTTGACATTGAACCGACTAAACATCCCGGCCCGACAATCAGTCTGCAACGAGGCCGTGCTGTCCAATAGTTCTGTCATTATCATGCGTCCGGAGCGTGTTTGTGGCTCTGAGTAATCCTTCATTTGTCCCAAAGCTTGAGCGTACCTATAGCTCTAGTATTCTTTCGTTTGTGCTACTGACAATGAGTGCTATTATTCCCCTGATATTTGGTTGAGTTTTCTTTCGTTTTCTTGCAGCACGAGTTTAGCTTTTGTGTTTGCTGTGAAACAATGCGAGCTTTGTGCTGAGGAGTTATGACGGAAGTCAAGATCTGGGTGGACCGTGTTCAACGAGTGATTTCGGGTGAGTTTCCGGGGAAAGAATGTTACAGCTCCAGAATCACATCCTGTTCCTCCTTGTTTCATCGTCATCCTTTGGACGCGCATGTGAGTCAGGAATGCAGCGTCGGTAGCTCTTTGGTGAAGAGAGAATGGAGCGACATTGAGAAAGTTTCCTCAATTTTCCCGCTCTCGGCGACAGAAAACGATTACGCTGTTCGATGAAGGCGCGACGCCGCCGTGGACCCTCCGAGTTCCTCGGAGAAAGACGCGCGAAGGGAGATCCAGGGGCCGGGAGAAGTTTTTCCCTTCATCTATTGTTCCCTCCCTGCGTCCGTCCGACGTTTTTCCCCACTATCTCTAGACCAGTAGAAGTTGTGGTCGTCGTTCCCCCGTTCTCCGCGATAGCCTTGAGCTGCGTCAAGTCAGCATGGGGTCTCGCAAGCTCGGTACTCTTTTTTTCCCCTTTCCGAAAGTTTTCCCGTTCGAGATCGTTCATTCTTAGCAGGCGAAGGAGCCAAGACCTTATTAGGGATCGTGGGGTGGTACGTAAGCGGGGTAGAGGGGAGGAGGCGTGGCTGGAGCAAGCGAGTTCCACAGGGATCCGAGACGTAACCTGGGAGATCCGGGGCGCTCCGAAAGTGTCCTTGGCTCGGAAATAACGGCTCCGGAGAGTAAAGGGGCAGAAGAAGAATGCGCGGAGGTTTCACCGGCTACGAACTAATCTCTTATCTCGGTTCACTCAAGTGTCCTCTGAGATGAATAGCTTTTGCCCCCCCCCGTTCATGTCTTAACGTCACTTCAATGAACTCGTTGATCGTCAGAGACCTCGTCAGAGACTCATTAGGGTGGCGGCTTCGACAACGACGTCGACGGTGGTGGCGGGTCAGGGATCGTTTCCACTTTAATCTCCAACGAAGCCGTTCACGAGTTGGGAGGCGGGAGGACTGCCGCACGCAGGCAGGCAGACACGCGGGCAACCGAGGGTCATTCAGTCTCGTCGCTCACCCTTCCACTCACCGGCCCGCGTGCCCGCCGACCGGCCGGCTGCCCGGCCTTCCAGGGCAACAGGCTCCATTTGTTCTGGGGCTTTGTGACGCCGGCGGAGCAGTTGTCAAAGCGTTTCTCAAATAGAATTCTCTTTCCGTCGGCTCGTACGCACCGTCGACGGCCGCTCTCGACTCGTTCACATACGTACGGCGGCGGTGCTGTTCTCGACGGAATTCCAAAGTAGATCAGCAGTAGAGCGAGGAATAAATCGAAAAAGGAGGGATCACACGTTTGATCACACCTCTACTCTGGCCACTCTTCTCCTATTCTTACCGCCGCCGTCGCCGCTGCCAACGACATCCGAGCGCCTATTTCTGCTGCTCAGGGTTTGCGTCGGCATAGCAGTAGGTCGGAAAGTTTCGCAATTTCCCGTTCAGAGCGGAGTGGATCTCCGGCTTCGAATAGTTTCCGTCACGATCGACTGGCTGAGTGAGCGACTGACTGACTGCTTCACCCGCCGGCTGCTGACAGACCGAATGTTCGTTTCGGTCTCGGACTGGCGATAACCTGTGGGGTGACAGCGAAGACGGGCGGAACCGACCGGGAACGGAGACGAGTTCGCGCTTGGAGAACAGTGGATACCCTCTGCGAGGGTTCGCCTCGTCGAGTGGATATTCGCCCAGTCAGCAGCAGCGGTCGCGGAGTATCTCGTAAAGATAGCCGCTCTCGGTCGAATCGTAAGTTGCTGCGATGAAGTCGCGGGCTCCGCGCTGTTATCAGAGCGTTCAGTGGACTTCATGCAAACAATCGCCCGAGGCTTCTCGTAGAATCTCGGCCGAGTACGCTCCGAAGAGAGCAGCCACCAGTGACGGCGCGGCGGTGACTTCGGCTGCTGCCACGCACCGCCGTCGTCGTCGTCGCAGCCGCGGCTGAACCAACGAAGCGTTTCGCCAACCATACAGGCAGAGTGAGGGCATGCGTGAGTGAAAGAGTGAGCAGCTACATGACATCGGACCATCAAAGTTGGGAATATTCTCCGATGTTCACTGAGCTGCGACGTCGGCTGGGAAACTTTGCTCTCAACGAAATTCCTCTGGTCATGCCTTCGCAGAGTTTCCATGATGATGATGATGATCATCATCATCAGGGAATCGTCTTCGTCAACCCGCTCATATGCAAACGGGCCTTGAGAGTCCTGAGCGAGGAATGCAAGACGAATCGCTGAACTGAGAAACAACAGCACGCCGTCGGTCGTCAGAGAACGAGACGAGATCGTAAACGCGACATGTAGGTATTGCGTCTCTTCAAGCGAGCGAACGAATGCGTCCGCTCGCTCGTGCTCCTCCGTGGAATGCATCTGGCTTGAATATAGGAACGTAGAACGAGCCCCCGTCGTCGACGGCGGCATCGTTTGCGTTGCATTGTTATCTGATGCCCTTTTCCTAAGGGTTCACGTCCCTTGCCTTCAAGGTGCTCGTGTATTGTCTTCCTTCGCTTGCTCGGTGACCCTTCTGTCAAACTGACTAACTCCCCCCCCCACATCGTTTTCTTCCTTTTGTATCGTTTCCTTCAGCGGTCTCATCCCACGTTGTCCTTGTTTTGTTCTTTGTGTGTTTCTTGCTCCTCGTCAGGACTCATCCCGATCGGCCAATGTTTGTGTCTTTGTCCTTATCCCTTATGCTCATCGTATCGAAGTTTCCCCCGAGGATCAGCTGCTTCTATCGGCATACATCTGGAAAAGAATCCACCTGATTCGTCCCTCTAATCACAAACTTGTCGTTTCCTTTGTCAGACGCATGGGTTTCGCCCGGAGCTCTCTTGGCTGTCCTTGAGTCTCTTGACGGGATATTCTCCTCTCTGTGCCTCCCAGTCATCGAATGTCCTCTACCTCCGTGTTCTTATTCGTTTATTCTGAGCATTTTCTTACAGTCGTTCAATTTTTTTGCCTTGATTCGTTTTCTTCTTTTCTCCTTATTTCACCCCGAAATTCTCCTGTCCTTCCATTCAAGTCCTTCGAAGACTTTCCCGCTATCGTCCCCGTCCTTTTTCCAAGATATTCTCTCTCTCCCTTCTCCCGATCCTCAGTTCCCAATTGATCTCTCCCTTGGGCTTTCTTGTCCTACCAGTCCTTTATCACTCCGACATCTAGCGAATCGAGTGACCGTCCGAACCTCTTTGAAGTTGTCGTCCAAACGAGATTTAAAGCTTTAGATCACGCACGACCAACTTTATTTCAATGCTCCTCTGGCTCACAAAGACATCCCCAGACTCGAACCTCCCCCTCCCTTCCACCTCGTTCTCTCTCCGTCGATTTCTCGAAGAGCGCTGGTCCTCGCACTGATTGTTTCAACGGCAGCCGATCGGGCTTTCGGTGATGCCGCGGCCCTTTTCCACTCAGACCGCTCCCGTTCCCTGGGCGTCAGAGCAATCCGGGATCTCTAGACGCGGGCGGAGCTCAAATGGCGATTTGATTCGATTGGCTGGGAATCTTCGGTGAGAAAACGTCGATTTGTACCAGATGAATAGAAGGGATCCACTTTCTCAGATAGGATAAGTCGATAGTCAGCTAGCCGGGGAAGGCGGAGAGGAGAGCGCCTTTTCAAAAAAAAAAGCGTTGGAAAACCAACCTCAAGCTGATGAATATGCAAATAGTGTCTTTTGGGAGTATTATCACGGAATGGCGCAAGCCGGAAGGCAGGCAGGCGAGCGGGTGGGTGGGCGGACGGACGGGCACTCGCTAAGAAGCCGCCAGATAGTCGGATTCCGTCCTCCTTGAGATTCCAAGAATGGCTTTCTGCGAGGCGGGCACTCCCTCTTCGTTTCATTATTCAACTGCAGGGTATTTCGAATTCCTTTGTTCCTCGCCTCGACGATTTTTTCTTCGCGCCCTCCTCCGCAGGCAGTTGCGCTCTACCCTCCGTTGTCTGCGTTTCGGAAGTTCGTTTTTATTCCGTTTGCATCTATATGAAAATAGGCTCAGGCGACTCCTACTCATAGTGTGAGCCGACATTGTCACCGAGGAGAACTGCGTCCCGAGTCCTGTGCTTGCAGAGGCGGTCCCTCTTCCGCACGCGTCCGTCGAACAGAGAGGGAAAGGAGCTGTTCTTCCTCCCGGCGCCGACAAAAAAAAGTAATCTCATCGCATCGTGGTCTACCGAGACACTTCCAGGCCTCGGGTTTCATATGACTTTGATGCTTGTCTGTGAAACGGGATACGGGATGAAAGAGGTTGGCCCAGTTCCTCCGAATTCCCTTCACGGCCGGACCCGTCCTCTATTTGAGTTATTCCAATGTGCGTTTTTCTTTTGGTGGCCCGATGCAAACGACATCATCATAAATATGGTGGACGGGGAGCTGGTCGCGACAACATCGAGTCCATGTTGCCGACTGACTAAGCATACCGAGAAACATGCCTGCGACGTTACGCAGACAGTCTCCCCGGCCCATAGACCGCTGGTTTGTCGACAGACCGGATGCCGAGTGCCACAAAAACGGACCCAGTTTCACCTCTTGTCCACCATGCACCCCATGACCGACTCCGTTCCCATCTCGGCCACACGTCCTCTCACTCGCTATCTGTATGTGTCGTCCGATCGAGACACAAGAATCAGGTGATGCTGCCAGAGGCGGCGCGCCTGGTCAGGACCGGACGTTTGCTATAACGGGCAAGACACTCTCGTTCAATCTTCCCCCTCGACGTCCCTCGCCCCGAAATCCCCCCTCTCTGTCCTGTTTTCCTGGATCGCGTACTCCTTTCTCGTCTTTCTCGTCCCGATCCACCGACGGAAGGAGAGCGAGAAACGCGGACCATGATCAGATATCCTCTCCTTTTCCCTCCTTGCGGGATAGAACCGGGAGAAGACCAGCTAGCCAGTCGACCCTCTGGCTGTCTTTTTATACTTCCGCAGGCCCCCGGCTATGACAGAGGAGTTGATTACTTTGCTCCGCCTGATTACGTTGAGTCTCCTCCATGCTCCTGCCGTTGTTGACGACGATGCCGTCCGTACCTCGGGTTGCTACGCCTATGTCGACGTCAGGCGCCGGCGAAGACATCGCCCATCCCCTTCTTTATTATTTACCTAAGTCAGCCGGACAGCTGGCCGACGAGACAGCGGAGGAACATGCCACAGGAGCTGAACGTCATCCGCCGAGCCCTGAGGTCCACCTTCGTTTCGGAGAAGTCTCTCGACTCGAAAGTTCCTCAGATCACGGCGGACCGGTCCTGATTCGGTTCTCGGGAATGACCTGCGTAGGTCGAAGGAGATAACATGCTGGTCGAGATGAAAAGGACGAAGGCGTGCGGAAGACCGCCAGGTCCAAGAGAGTCCCGGGGAAACTAGCACAGCTTGTTTAGCGGACGCACGGATCGACTGACAATGCCTCGTGACGTCGAGAACGACCGACAGAGCAATCCGCCGGAAAAACTTCCGCCGTCGACGTCTCGCGAAGTTGACGCTGTCAAGCGGGTCGGCCGAAGGAGAGACCATGGCACGCAAACCGTTTGACAAAGGCCTTGACGATGCGACGGCCGCACGTCCCTCGACTTCGGGTCGGCCGCTGGGTCAGACGCTCAGAGCAACGGGACGGCGGGAAACTCCAATAACGGCCACGACAATAGTGACGGCTGCGGTGCTTAATGTTTTTCCGCTTCAACAGCTGCAAAGTCCGCCAACTGCATCGCAAACAATGACGGCAGACAGAGTTGCGGAACCGGAGACATCAAAGGCCGTACAACCATTACCACCGCCGCGGGGAGAACGAAAAGGAAAAAGTGACTAAGAGAAATTGCGATCCGCTCAAGCACCGCCGGCCGTCACGGTGCTGAGCACCACTACGCTAAGGTTGTCGGGGGAGGCTCGTTGCGTCGTTGATGATGTTGCTGCTGTCGTCGTTGTTGTTGTTGTTGTTGGTTTGTTCGTTCGCTCACTCGTTTGAAGCGTGAACTGACGACGGAGCACGTCGCGCCCCGGCGTATTTCATTGTCAACCGAGAGATGTGCCAGCTTCAGTTCCACGCCCTCGGACGTCTTAGCCGACCGCCCGCAGCGGAATTATTCCTACTTCGTTCGGGGCTTGCAACAGCAACAGAGTAGCGCAAGAACACAGAAAGAGCGTTGTTGAATGAATGAGGGACCGACCGTTGAGAACCGCGGCTTGAAAGCGAGCGGGGGAGCGATAACGGGCTTGGGGAAGTCTGTAACGTGCGCGTGTGTGTTTATGTCCCACAAGTAGGAGTTGTATGCTGCGAACAAGCGGCTAGCTGGGCCCTCGGCTCAGAGAGGGGGGGCGAGGAGGGTAGCTGTAGGGCATGGGCTGAGAGAATCTGTGGAAACGGAAAGCCGTCACGTCACTGAAGACCGGAATTTCCGAAGGCGGTCCGTTTCGGGAGAGACTTGAACGGAGCGGAACGGCACTGGGAGCGAAAAGTCGGGTCTCTTTCGAAATGCCAAGAGTTATGAGGTTTCGCTGCCGTAGCGAAACTCCTCTCGGGGTCAGCCCAGGACACAGCAACGATTCACCCATCCCGACCGACCGACCTTCTGAACTCGGAGCTCAGTTATCAGGACGGACGATGCGAGAAAGAACAGATACCTAGGGAGGAAAGGTCGGAGATGGAGCCATCGGCTGAAAAAGCAGAACGAACGAATCTTCTGCTCTGTTGCTTTTTCCCGATGGAATGAGAGCAGGGAGAATCCTTGCTGGGGAAAAATAAACTCTTTATCCGCTCTCGCTCCGGCGCCGGCGTAGCCACCGACCGGGGAATCCGGTGGAAGATGGGTTAGACGAAAAGGAGAAGCAGGGATCGAATGGGTGAGTGTGTGAGCTCCGGGTACGTGCGCTGAATCCCGATGTTTTCTGTATTCCAGGAGTGACCCCCGCGACGACCGTCGGCGATTTGTTGGCCATCCTGTCACGCTCACAAATGTTGTCATCTCCGTCTTCATCATTCGTGGGCGGAGAATACTCGGGCCCAAGGCGAGATTGTCTCGTTCTCAGGAGAGACGGAATGGAACACATGCTGAGCCCGTCCGATAGACCGCTCAGACTCCTGGCCCACTCAGGAGGACACCTTATCTACAGGTGAGTTCACTCAGGCGTCAAACCTGACAGAACGGCTCGGTTGTCCCCAAGTGGTTTTACCGCACATCATGCGGTCGTCGACGCTTACTGGAAAGCTTCCCGGTCGTCCCGAACGGAGCCGACCCGCTCCACCATCTCGCCATTGAAAGATCCGAACTTTTTCCCGGGTGCCTGTCATTCGAACGTGACGCTCTCCATCTGGTTAAGACCGAGGTCTCACCCTTGAGGCGAGACTTGTCCTCGGAAGCTCTCGACTGTCACTCCGGTGCGGAGTGAAAATAAATACCTACGTATAACAAGATGCGCGTGGAGCGGTTTTCCGCCGAGTTCCACCGGGCCCCGAGCGTTTGCGGAGTGTCACGTTAGAGAGGTGTTCGCCAAAGTCCGGTGGGCGCTTCTGGTCCCCATATCACGTCCGTTTTCCCTCCATTAATCTTGATAAATTGGATTGACGTTCGCTTAGGTCTTCGGTACCCGATAAAAATCCTTGTTCCCCCCTGTATCCGATCGTGCTGTGATCTCCTCTTTGAGTGAGGGATGGACGAATAAATCACTGGGAGCGAATCCTTTGAAGACTAACGGGAGTTTCGCGGCCGATATGAGTTCAGCTCTTCCTCCTTGCCATATCTCTCCCGTTTTTCGTGGGAATGAGAAGTTTTCCGGGTTGACATTCCAGTCGATAGATTGTGCCTGTGGACCCAAATCCGGCCTTCTTCCGGGAGAAGCTTCCTCAAATCACTGACCATTCGATATGGAATGTACGCAATCGAGGCCCTGTCAGTCAATGTGGTGGCCCCTCGAGAAATTTCTCCGCGATAGAGGGAGCGCGTATCGTTCATTTAGGTCACCAGGGACCGTTTTCAAATATGAAAGCGTCCTCTCAGGGGAACGGTATCATTGCGTCCATTCCTACTACCTAGGTACTTTCCATACGAGGAGCCGATGCCGTCTCGTGTCCGATAAATGTTATGCACGAACACGAAATACGATTCTGGTCCCAATAAGCCTTTCTATCGTGATTCGTTCGGCATCGCTACCGGCGTGAATTAATGTGCCCTCGATCTTGCGGACCGGCACATCTGAAATGTGCTCATGCAAACTCTTGCGAAAGCAAGGAAGATCGGAATACGGGGTCCGAATCCATAGAGGTTCTAGGGGATGAGGCGCGTGAAAAACATAAGTTCCAGGAAAGTGGAGCGGGAGTCATTCGGGAGGAAAATGGAGCTCGGAGCAACCGATGGCAGTCCAGAGAGCATTCGTCGGGGGAGAGTAGGGGAGGGAACGGCTCAACGCATGAAAGAAATGGCAATCACTAGCGGCGGGAAAAAAGCTGCCAGCGACATCAGCAGTCGTCCATTGTTTCTCTGCAAGAAACGAGCTTTGCACAGCCGTTTCCAAATGATGGCGTGCCCTCTACGAAGACCAGTCCGACAGCTTGTGCATAATAAAGCCAACCGGCGCCGCGCCGGCGCGCGAACGGAAAATTATTATTCTCGCTAACGGTAGGGCTCTTTCAAATTCTGTTTGTCGCTGAACTCGAAGAATGATGTCGAGCGGTGTACAGGGGAGGGCCACCGTGGGCAGATGAGCCGGAAGCGTGGAGAACAGAGGGAAGTCCGGGGATCGGCATGCGTCGGGGAGGGTGGGGAACAACGACGGACTTGAACAGAATGAGTAGAAATTCTCTTCGGTAAGTCGAACGAAGCCTTGCTCAGTGGAAAAACAAAATTAATGGAATTGCTCTCCATTGAAGCCGTCGTCGATTCCGGAGCGCTGGCGAGAAGTTGAACGAATGAAGAAAAAAAAACGAGAGGCTGCTCCGCTCGAGGGTGTGAGCGTCGGAGCTTTCCATTTTTTTCCGGACCGGTATTTAAACTGCTCTCCGTCTGCGTGGGTGGAACAAACCGACCGGAGGGCGAATCCGACTCCGGGAAACCGCTATTGGAACGTGACTTTTCGGAAGAAGTTGCGGTCTGGGCTCGAACGAAGCCCAACCGAAAGGCTGGCGCGACGTAGGTTTCCCTCTCTTTTCTCACACTGACTGACTGACTGAGTGCGTCGCTCTCGTTCACCGCTTTCTCGAAGGCACTTCAGCCGGCTCCCGTGCCAGAAGGCGGGCAGGAGGCAAACAGGCGGCTGGGCGGGCTAGCCCGTCGGTCGGCAGGAGAGCAATGTTTGCCTTAGTCCTCCGGGGCTCTGCACGGGTCGCTGGGTCCATAGCGTCCTTGGGGAGCGAAGCCGACGATGTTCTCGCACTGCGGGACTCACTCTATAACTGAATTAGGTTTCTCCATGGACCACCGCAATGTGGAACATCAAGTCGCCAAAGTCGAGCCGACTAAATATTTATCCGTGGCTCGCCCTCGTATCGGGGACGACGGAGGCATCTGGAGCGACCTCGCATAGAGAACGAGTCCGAGGTCGAGCCGAGAGATGGAGTCATGCGGGATGCATTGTGAATCTGGGTGAGGAGTCAAGCGGAGTCAGGTGCGGGATCAGGAATACGGGGGAGGAGACGGAGCGGGTCAGGGATCCTCTGGGGACATCGAGCCTGTCGTGACGGAGGAACGGACAAACGGACGTCGAGATGGGGGAGCTCATAATTTGCGGGAAGAGCATGCGAGTTACGCGAAATTCCGGGTCCGGTTTCGACATGTGGGGATTTGTCCGAGCGACTGGATGAACGGTAGGGCCAGAGAAAACGGAACCCGGACAGGGGAACGCTATTCTGCGGATCGGAGGGTGACCCGGGGTCTGCAGAGCGGGTCATGAGGCGAGCCTGTCCTCTTATCAATCCCGGCGAGATGAGGTATTCTAATCACCGGAGCGTTTCCTCTCTCGTCTGACTGCATTGATTGCGCTTACGTAATTGCTGAAGGTTCCTTTTCGGACAGGCAAAGATTGGGAGGTCAATCGTAGCGTCAACTTCCCGTCTTCTCCGACTTTTCCTCCCCGAATCCGTTCCTCCCCCTATCCCTCTCCGCCGAACTCGATTGACGTATGTCTCCCACTTCGGCTCCCTCTATTGAATGCGGGAACGTTCTTCCATTCGGTTCCGAACAGCCGATTCCACGATGATGTCGATTGTAATCTTTTCTTTTTCTCGTTCCAGGCCCGCGGCGCCGATCGTGGAGCCGCAGTCCTCGGTAGGAGGTGGAATCCCCCTGAAGCCGGGAATTACCCACGTCCAGCTCAGATCAAACGCTATCGAAACAGCATTGAAACGTCAAACAAAGTCGGCCCCGCTCCTCAAGCCACCGTCCGTCGCACCGAAACATGTCCTACAACAGCCTCAGCAGCATGTGTCGAGGTTGGATGGAGGGGGAAATTCGACGACAACGAACACGACGACGGCGTCAACGACGACGACAACGACGATACAAATGTCGCAGCTGAATATCAAACAACCTACTCAGCAGCAAACAACTCGAAACCTCAATAAGACTACAAGTAAGCTGATATTCGTCATCGAGTGGGCTCTGAGTGAAGATGCGTGTAGCTGGCTGTCTGTGGGCTCGTCATCGGGTCGGGTTGGCGATGCAACAAGAGTGCTCTTGATGTTTGTCTCGCTCGTCATGCGGAGGAGAGATTCGGTTCCACGATGGAGCTGCTTGATTTGGCGGCTGCCTTCGCAAACCATGCCGCCTCTCGAAACGAAAATTCTGAAGTGGGAGAAGTTTTCGGAGGAAGGTAGCTCGAACAAAACCGGAGCTGTGCTCCTGTCATGATTTCTCCTGGAAAATCCACGCTAATGAGTCAAATCTTAGATCCGGACACTCTGGTCTGACCTGTGAGGGCTTAGGGTCGACACGATGAGCTCTCCCCGGCAAGGTCTGCCTTCTGTCCGGAGTGGAGTGTTGGCTACAGAGCAACGCTTGCGCGAAAGTCGCTGGGAAGCCTCATCCCAGGCTAGGTCGTTTGCTCCCGCCTCACGCAAGATTTCTGCGCGAATCGCGACGTTCCACTCGCGGCTCGGGAACGGGCACCGATTGGAGCAATTTGTATCATTCCTGATTCTACGAGATTGACGTTCTCTCGTTCCTACGACTTCATTCGATAAGACCTTATTCAGACAAGAACCAGCGGTCCCCCTTCCGTTCCGAGTCCCGAAACTATCAGACGAGAGCCGCGCTACTCGTTAGAGGTTTCTACGGCGAAACCTGACAAGCAGTAAGCCTCTAACGACGCCGGATCTCGTGAACGTTTTCCCGGGAAGAAACTCTCTTAGTGTAGTCGATCCTCGTCTGAGAACGTTATCTGGAATTAGCTTTTCCGAAGGAGTTCTCTCGGTGCGCTCCGCGAGCGGCGGCTCGGAATAAAATGGTAAAAAACCTCACCCACTCGGAAGCTCGGGGACTGATAGGGATCACAGGAACTGCGACGCCCTCAAATCGATAAGAGCTGACGCGGGCCCCAAATGGAATATTGCTTCCAGTCGGAACCTTCCCCCAGAGGAGCAAGCTCTTGCTACTCCGGGAGTATGGGGGAGGGGGGGAACTCTCTGATGGTTGACGAACGTTCTGAATTATTCCTCCAGGCTACTCAGGGGCGTACGGCGATAAGGTTGACTCTCAGGAGGAAGGACGGGAACCGGCACCCTCGGAACGACTGATGCCTCCACCGTACGAGCAAGCTATAAGGTCTTCCTGCCGGCGGCGTCCCGCTGATCTCGATCTTCTCATTAGGACCCAGCAGGAGAAACTCAATTCGCAGGTACGTTTCAGAATTGTCGATTTCCGTTCAGACGAACGGTACGCGCTCGACTCGCGCATGCTCAGCTTGAAACAGAGAAATGGGTCGATGGAGGGAAATTGTTTCTTGCCTCGTGTGCCGTGAGAATCGGGCTCGGCAATTTCTTTCCCTCTCGGGAGAGATGGAAGTTTTATTGACGTGTTCCCCGCGATTTCTTCCAGGCCAAAAAGTTGGAAGAGATGGATCGGGAAATCGCGATACTCGAGTCGAACCTGCAGAATCGCGAGCGAGAGAACGTGGCCATCTATCCTGAATGTCAGGATTTAGACAGAAGACTTACCGCCTGCGAAGCTCGGTTGAATCTTGCGCAGAAGGAGGAGGCCTCGTTACAGACCGAGATATTCGCGACTAAAGCCAAGATCGAACGGCTTACCATCGACATGGAGGTACGTGGAATCGAACGAACGAACGAACAGAGACACAAACGAGGCTGAGCGAGCTCCGGCCCCTAAGCCAGGTGGTCAGACGGTCGGTCGGCCGGCCGGCCGTCGGGCCGGAGGCGGTTGGTCGGGCGACGACTCCGGTCGAGACGCTCGAAAAGCTTCGCGACCGCCACGCAATCATCGGGCGGGGCAAAGTATTCCCGAACGACATCTCGCGCTCTTGAGTTGACCAGTGGCTCGGAAAACTTTTCCGATAGATTTAGCAGAGTACAAGGCTCTTTTCTCCTTGCAGAGCTACATGACGCGCGAATGTGAGCTGGTCACCAAAGCTCTCGATGTTGTTCCTACGCCGCAGCAGGATTTACCGCTCGATGAGAAACACCGACAGATCGTAGCTTCGCTCCAGCAGGAAGTCCGGGACGTACAGCGACAAGCTCGACAACTGTCCGAACAACTCAAAAAAGAAAATCTGAAAGGTACATAATCCGAATCGAGAGCGACGTCGAACAGTCGTTTCCACGGTCCTAGGAGACAGTGGAGCGGTCGAAGCGGGGCGCAGACGGCCGGCGTTCCGCTGGAACTTTTGTTTGCTCTACCCCGCCCGATATGAGCCGGGGAGCAAAAATAATTATACGTGCCCTAAGTGCTCCGCTCCCACCGGATTTAGTATTCCGACGGTTCTCCGTAAGTGCGACTGCTTGCTTCTCCGAGTTTTCCCCGACGGTAATGGTGGCGGTGGTACTCCTGCTGCTGCCGCTGCTGCCGCAGATGTTGTCGGTGTTGTCCTCCACGAGCAATCGGCTTCTCCTAATTTGAGATATCGTTGTTCCCGTCAGACTGCCGGCGTATTTTCCGAACTGTTCTCTTGTTCATTCCGAGAGAGCTCCCACAAAGAATCGTCTTTTGCCCATTGTAAGAGTCGTCTCGTGGGAATGAAATATGCCACCGACGGCTCCGAGGTCTTTCGTAATTCCTCAGACGACAAGCGAATTTCTCCCTATTCGAATCTCGGATTATCAGTCTCTCGTTCGTTCCAGGACTAATGATGGTTAATCCGGAGGAACTGGCGGAGGGCGCAGAGGGCATTCTAGGAGGCGCGACGGGATCGGGGCTCGGAAATGTCACCGTGAGGACATTAGGAGGCTCTTCCCGGAGAAAAGTGCCTCCCAAGGGCCCTCGCCAGCTCGGCCAAGAGATGGCCTCCCCCACTCAGACCCATCCAATCGGCGTTTGGGTCTGAACAACGTTCAGCTCAAAATATTCGCCGCACTCAAAACCGCGAAATCACGGCATCATCACATCAGCATCAAGCCGTCGTCGCTGCAGCGAGAGTGGGATTTCCTCCACTCCGAATCATCACTCCTGGAATTCTCCAGGACACGTATGGAGCAGCTATAACGCGGTGTCCTTGATTCCGTCCGAGGCTTCGCCTACGCTCTGCCAAGAAATGCTGCCTGCGGCTGTTCGTGTATCAGGGATCCCTGACTAATCAACGGAATAGACAAATGATGGTGCTGTACAACATGAACATGCCTGCAAACACTCGTAGACTTCTCATGGGCCTGCCTCATCCTGATCCTGCCAACCTGATTATCTACCTGCAGTCGAGTTTTTGCGGCCATGTCACGGTCGATAGAGCTTTATCACGTTCCTTGCCTGTCCCAGCCATGAAATCAAGCTATGCCGAGCCGAAGGCACGCGAGCTCGTTCAAGTGCGCTGACACTCTGTACACAGCTAAGCATATATATGAACATTCATGAATACATCCATGAATATATTCTGAGAGAAAGAAACACATACATACACGTCCGGGTGGATTGCATGTCGGATGCCCTGGATCCGCTGCAGGAGCACGTTCGACGGCGAATCGAGGTCCCCGACAGCGAGGTCAATCGATCCGGCGGGGGACCGTGGCTCCCCGATTTGCATTTTGTAGCTACTTGATAATATATTATCACGGACAAAATCTGATTTAAAAACCAAGCATTGACGGAGGAACTCACAAACTCCTATTGATAAGCATAATTAGTATTACATATAACGAGAGGTGGCTGGAGCGTTGCTGGGCACAACGAATTTTCACCGAAACCGTCCGTTTGAGCCATATCTGATACCGAGAAGATTATTCCGTCAGACAGGGTCTGACAGCTGATTTTTGTGATTTCATCAAGCCCCAAATCAATTTTGAGCTCACTCACATTGGACAGAGCAGCGATGCTGTCGATTATATTGTCTCGGTCGTTAGAGCCGATTTTGAAAGCCAGAAAGGCGTTTCTGAATCCGGATTCCTGCTTCTGATTGTTCGTTCCACTCGAGTCTGAATGACAAATCGATGGCATCCCAAGGTGGGGCAGCTGAGTGCCGCTGATTATTAATATTATTGTTCCTCGCCCTAAACATGGCTTCGTACAATTCATCACATACGAGCCCGGAGGAAAAGTTGTGACTCTCACTCCTCGAGTGTGACTCTCCGTGGGTTGGTGTTCCCTCGAGGAATGTGTTTTCCGGTGGGGGAAACAGTGCTCGTGGACTCATTGCCGAGGCCGTTATCGGAACTTCTCGTCTGTCAGACGATCACCTACTCCCTTCCTCACACACACACAAACGATCGGGACATGTCCGAAGTACGTAATACAAAGAGTCGCCAGCTACGCGGCTGGATTACAGGTGCCTCCTCTATACAGAGTGCTATCAGCACGATCGATACTATGTAGGCTTTAACCAATAACAGCTGTCTGACTGACAAACAAACAAACGAATAGTCAGCCAGCGAGCCAGACCTCCTCAATTATTGCTGAATGGTTTTCGCACCGATCGGGCTCGAAGGAGCGGTGTTTTGTTGGATCGTCGAGATGTGATTTGTAAATAAGCCGGATCCGATGACGAGTGTAAGAATGTATCTATGGTTGATTGAAATTGTCCGCTACTTTAATAAAATGCCGCATAGAGAAGTACGATGTTAAGGAATTCCGAAGATCGAACTCCTGCGAATTAACTTCTTTCCTCATTTTTTTTCACGTCGCCACTGAGGTTTGCTTACGGGAACTCACTATGCATTCATACGATTGAGTATAATAAATGTTTCTTGCTCGTGACGACGAAGACGTATCGAATTCTCTCGCAACCAGAGTACGGGTAAGTGGATGGGGTACAAGCGAGGACAACTTCAGAGAGCTCCAGGTCGAGACTCTCGGAAGATATCGGAAGCGGGATCTGTCGGGAGGATGCTCGGTTCCGACGGAATACCTAAGAAAAGCGTCAGCTGGTCTGAGTAGTCGTCAAAACTGCGTTTACAGATTTTTCCCCCTCTCCGAAGTTTTCCGAAAGCTATGGGAACCCTTCAAGTCGATTTATTCATTGCCGCGATGAGCGGAGCCACAAGGCCAGCGAGGAAGGTCCTAGGATCCTGGGGCATGAATGGAGCGACTCTTTTATCGGTCGACATTCATCGTCTAATGACCTCATTCATTGCTCGGCGGAACGACCGACAGCGTAATTGCGACGCTTGAAGCAAGCATCCGTCGCAAGCTCCGGAGGAGCGTTGGCCTCCGTTTTGACGAAGTCTTATTCAGCGGCAGGATCCGACGTCGAAGATGGATTCGCGGTCCGGTGCTCCCGTGCAGAAGCGAGGGATATAAAAACTCTTTGTCATAGACATCCGCCCAGGCTCTATGCCATCTTATCTGCGTCGCCGTCGGTCGGCCCCTCCGCGAGAGTCACTCGACTACTCGAGCCGGAATCACTTGTGGACTACGAGATCTCTTTAAAGTCTCCCCACCATACTCTGCGGATTCCTCCCCAGTCCAAGTGCCAATTTCGCGTTTTCGAGCCCAGAAGAGCTCTCTTTGCATCTATCAGGGGCTTCTGACTGGAGAACGCGAAGGGCTCCGTGCTCCCCGAGCTCTTTCATCGCGCCGTGGTGTCAGGAGCTAGCTCGACTCCAGATACAATCACTCGCGAGGGGAAGCATACGGTAGTCGAAACCTAGACTTTGACGGCTCAGGACTACAGTCAAGTCTTCCTAAATTGAACCCGCCCTAAATTGAAAACCCTCGCTAAGTTATAATTTGAACCAATTTCCAGCAGCGCTCCGATAACTTAGTACATAGACTTTCACCATAGAAATATTAATAAAATATCGCTGGAAGAGGAAGAACAGGAAAAAACATGAGCCTTCGCTAACTTATGACTTATAATTTTCTCCGAAATCGGTCTCCCGAGAATTATAACTTAGGAAGACTTGACTGTATGTCAAAAACGGAGCCTAGACGTCAGGATACCTACCGTTTATGCTATCAACGTGACGCCCTCAGTCCGCAGCGGGGAAGAAGCATTCCCGTGGGGCTTTACTCGTGGACTTCCCTTCGGGGATCCCGTCACAGAAACCGTCAGGGTGTCAATCAGGGTCCCTGACAGAAGCTCCAATGCCTGTTGCCGGCTTGGAATCACAGATACCGGCCTAATCCAGCCGGACCAAATTGCGTCCTGGTGGTTCCCCAACCCCCGCTTTCGGGCGGGGGCGCCGCTCTCATGGACGGAACTGGGTTAGCAATACTTCGAGCACATGAGAGCGGGAGCTGCCCTACCCCCTACTCTGACCCCCCTCCACCAGCAAAGGGTACAGCTGGGTAAGGGGGGTTTTCGGCCACGACTCCGATTTTCGAAATGGATTGCGTGGCGTTATGTCCCACTCTTTAGGAGCATATTGACGCACTCAGATCATCTCAATCGCTTTTCAAGTCCGAATGGTATGCGAAAGAAAAATTAAAGTGTGTTCGGACCCCTGAAAACACCTGAAATCTTTGAACGGTCATTGCGCGAGAACGGAATAAGCTAGAGACTCGCGCTTGGTGGCGTTCGAAAGCTGGGGACAAGAGCTACAAAACCATGTCCTAATCACCGTCCTGAGATATTTTCTCCATGAGATACAGATCGATTTTCGCTGGAAAAATCACTTTTTCGTGATTTTTCCGGAAAAGAGTGTGATTACCAAGCTGGAATCGCTTGGGACAAGTTTTTTTAAGACCCTCGCGTTCCTGCGAATGCGATCGCACCGGTTTGGTGTTGTCCTTTTTTTGGTATTGTGTCGTTTCCGAGCGTTTTCCATTAATAACCCTCGATTTGGGGGCTACCATACTAGAAGCATGCCCTACCAATCGAACCCCGCAAGGAGAAGCCATCAGTCTTCATTGCTGTCGTCCTCCAGTGACATGCCGAGGAGTCGCCAATCGCCGCGGCGATCATTCAAATATTCCCGCGTTTCGAGCAGACGCGAGCTTTCTGTCTGGAAGCAATTCACCGGCAATGATGCCGACTGCCGACCTGCTGACTGCTGACGAAACACCGTACGCGCGCGCGCCGCTCAGAGAGCTACCGCTGGAAAAATCTTCGTCACCAAACTCTCCGTTCTCGCGCTTCGTTATCGCTCATTTCTCCACGTGTCTTCGCACCTGAGTGCACCATTCATTCGTGAAGATGCCGAATATTCAGTGCAAAACCTGTAAGAAGTGGCAGAAGGGCCAAAGACGCGTGAGCACGATCAAGAGCAGCGGAGTCGCACAACGATATCGAGCCACATTCCCGAACATTGAAGTGAGGATCGGCGACAGAGTATGTGAATCGTGTCGTGTATTCATGTGCCAGGATGTGGCAGAAGATGTTCAGAAGAACATGGAGGTAGCTTCAGTCGCCGGTCAATCGACCAGCAGCGCTCATGAGTTACCGGTATGCTTTGACTCCGACTACGAAGAGCCTCTCGCTTCACCTGGACCGGTCGAACTAATCGAAGTGCCCTCCAACAGAGTTGCCAGCACTGAGAGGTTGTGTTTCGTTTGCGGTTTAACGGCTGTGCATCGTCTTGTTACATCTGAACTCAGAAAACGGCTAGAATTCGGTGGGCTCTGGAAGCCCTTCACGGCATCATCAAACAGAAGTACAGGATCTTCGACCATCGAGTCGACAATAATTTACTTCCGAAGATCGGAACGATGCTCCGGATCGCGTGTTACTCGAACAACCGCTTCGGGAAACGTCTGACGTCCGATGAGAGCATGTTCCTCGAAGTGGTGGAGCGCATGAAAGAGATCAGAAATGTTCCGAATACCCTGGGAGAGGAAGTCCGAGCGAACAACTGGAATGCAGTGAGGCGTCCATGGATCGAAGTGAACTCCGACTCGGTCGAGGACTTCCCGGAGCTGAATGAAGATGATCTAAAGGTCCTCTGCACAGGCACTTATCAGCTGTCTCAGGCACTCTCTTATCTAGCCGAGATGATGAGCG